ATTTTTTTTTTTTTTTTTGTTATCTATTAGTGGCGTTGGTTGTTGCAGACAGGGAGTAATAAAAATATTCCAACATTGTATTATGGAAAATCTAACTATAACTAATTTTTGTTATTTCGGCGTTATCAATAAATAATATATTTTATAAATAGTAAGAGACCATCGTAATTTGATAACCACGATAGCGATAACCGATCACGTTGTATTAACTAGTGATTAGTTGATCTTGGTCGTGTGTTTAAAATAAAATGGGAAAAGAAAAGGAATCAGCTAGTGTACTTTTAAAAAATTACGTTTTAGAATTCGGGTCTGAAATTATACAATATAAGACGGGCATGTCTTATATTGTAAAATGTGTGAGATAAAAATAAAGTTTGGAAAAAAGTACAATATATCTCAACGTTTAAGAACTGATAAACACATTAGAAGTGTCGAGCGTTAGAAAAAATATGTGCAGTATAAAGCTCAAACACTTTTAATTAGTCAAAATTTAGCAAAATTAAATTTCAATATGGACTTATGCCAAGCCATGGTTTCTGCCAATATTCCGTTAAATAAGCTTTCCAATAATATATTTATAACATTTTTAGAGAAGTATACTGGTAATAGTATCCCAACGGAATCGATATTACGAAAAGGTTAAATTTACGACATTTTTAATGCTACTATGGATATAATGAAAATGGAAATCCAACAAAACAAAATTTGGGTGTCAATTGATGAGATATGTGATGTTGAAGGACAGTTTATAGCCAATGTTATTGTTGGAATTCTTAGACCAGATTGTCTAGACCGTATATTTTTACTACACTCACTGAGTGTCACTCAGAAGAATTAGAATAGGCTAATCATTCAACTATTTATAAACTATTTGAAAAAGCAATGAGGCTTATATGGCCTGATGATCTAAAATACAATAACGTCTTATTTTTTTTATCAGATGCTGCTCTCTATATAGTAAAATAAGGTGGTGTTCTTAAAAATTTATATACAAAAATGATTCACTTTACTTGTGCCCACGGACTACACAAAATTTCCGAAGAAATTCGCGGACAATTTGGTACAGTTGATGAATTAATATCAAATATAAAAAAAATATTTCGTAAAGCTCCATCTCGTGTTGAATTATTCAAATTGAAGAATCCAGGTATAAAATTCCCCCCTGAACCAATTATTACTCGTTGGGGGTCTTGGATAGAGGATGCAATTTATTATTGCGAACATTTTAAAGAAATTCGTCACGTTATAAGCTGTTTAAATGAAAACGACGCAGATAGTATCAAAAAAGTTAACATATGTATAGAGAAACCAGGTTTAGAAGACAATTTGGCATATATAAAAAGTAATTTTGAAATTCTTACCAATGCTATTATAGAACTACAAAAAAAGTTGTTTTTTTATGTAATTCAATAGTAGTGGTTCAGAATGTACAACAGACATTTTCTACATTAAAAGGTGATCTCGGGAAACCAATTATTACTGAACTAAATAAAGTTTTTGAAAAAAAATGATGGCTTGAGAATTATTGAAATAATATCAAAAATACTCGATATGAACTATATGACTTCAGCGATTTTCCCGAAGACTATTCCAGTGACTATTTATAATTTACTTTAAATATGTCCTTACTACATCGGTTATTGTCGAACGCTCATTCTCGGCTTATAAAACGATACTGTCAAACAATAGGAGATCTTTTACATTTGAAAACCTCAGATTAATTATTAATTGGAATAATGAAGGTAAGAAACATTTTTAATTAAATACAATTTTTTGATAAAATAAATTAATTGGTTTTCAGCTATTATTTTAAATATTTTTTATTCATTTTTTCAGAAAACCCATAAATTCAAGAAAGTCGAGAAACCTAAGATTAGGTCTTATTTTTGTATAAAAGATTTAATCTGATTTAATTTTGTTATTAATTAAACTCATTTAATTTTACGTAATTATTTATATATATATATGGTTCTATTGTAATTTTGGAAAATAGGTACAAATATCTAGTATTTATAATAATATGGGGAAATTTTTGAGATAGTTTTTTTTTTTAATGTTTTTAAGTGTTTTTTTTTAAGCTCTTATTTTGATGATTTTAAGTGCTTTAAGTCCCTAGCTCTGGTTATAACCCTAACCACAATTTATATCAAATCCTTATGGTACTCAAATGAATTATTTATTTTACTAACTAAATTAATAGAAGAATCTGTAATCAATTGGAAACTTATATATATATATATATTGTAAATATCAATTAATGGAAAATACAACCTTTACCGAAACAATTTCTTGGTTTAAAAAAATATGTATTACTACAAACTTAAATTACTGTATTCTTGTTGAAATCTTGTAAATGCAATATTGTAAGTCTAAATGTATTTCGCTAGGTTAAAGGAAAAATAAATACATTTATTATAGTTATAACTAACCAGTAGAAATTCAATTAAACTTATTTTCCTGCTAGTTTGACAGAAAAAGTTGAGATGTATCCTCAACAACAATCCCAAACTGCTAAAGATTCACAACCGCATGGAACTGACAGCTGTTGCAAAAATGTATAAATGAGTAATCTTTGATTATTTTACGACCTAACTTCAATATGTTTGTACACTATTTTTTTTGTTTACCTACTGACGCTCATACAAAGAAAGTATTAACATACACTAGACACTCAAAATATAATTAAACAAACCAGCGAATCAGCATTATCAGCGAATTGTATTTTAATAACACTATGTAATCACATTTTAAACTATTTTTAACTGAAATAATTAATAATAATGTTAAAAACCTGAATACTAAAAAAATCGCGATATCACCCTTATTAAATACTACAAAAGAATAAAAAATAACTCAATACAGTTAGGAAACCCAACTAAGTAAAGTGCTGGAATAGTAAACACTGGTATTGATTGAAATTTGACAGTGATTAACACAGTTATCATAAAACGCTTTCATGAAAATGTACTATAAAAAGAAGTATTGTCGAACTTTTAGAAAAAGAGAATTATTTATTCTCTGGGTAGTATTTCGAATCTCATTTAGAAGGCTTCTAATAGAGTCAATACTTATTCAAAAAAATAAATAACGTAAAAAATATTTTATAAATTAAAAAATGCAATTTTAACATTTTACGTTTTTTGCTCTTGACGGATTTTTTTTGTTTTGAAGTAACTATTATGAATTATGAAGTACACTTAAAAACCTCTAATTTAATATAGTTCTAAATGGCGAGACTTTTCCGAAAATTGAAATAAAACGAAAAATGTTAATGTGCTGTATGGCCATGTTAATTTCTTCCCTCTCTACAACTAATAATAATTGATATATTAAGGTATATCAAAAGAAAAATGATTGACTGTTATACAATTTTATGTGATATCATTTTATTTGCACAACATTTTTAATTTTCAAACCAATTTAAAATTGTGTGCAATTTTAAAATAAGCACATTTTGAGACATTTTTGAAATTTATGTCTTTTACCATACAACTTAATAATATTGATACATTAGAAGCTGTGTGTACAGAACGATAGATAAAAAAACCACGGAATAGTAAAAACAATGTCTTTCTCAGTTTCGCATCAATACTAAAATGAAATATTTTATTTTAATTCAGATAGACAATCCTAACACAATATGATATTGACCATAATTGTATCATTATTTAGTTTGCAACGGGTATATTTATGTACCTTTTTTTGATATAACACTAAACAAGTTCTAATTTGACGAATAATATAATGTACTTTTTACTGGAAATTCTTTCACAAATACTGATGAAAATGAGTAATATAATAAAAAATGATTACATATGTATAAACGGCTAATAGACTTAAATAAATTCTTTGAGATGAGCGTTAGACAGATGCACCTACAAAACCGGACATATAATAAGGAAGTCGTTACTTTCCGTTATTTTAATAAAATAATAATTTATGCACCGCTGCTTTTTTTCGTGCTAATCTCTTCGGTAAGCGGTAACGGAAATCCGGTCCAAAAAGTATATCCATGATCGCACACACGCACTCACACACACACACTCCACACACACACACAAACACACTCACACACACACTCTCCACACACACACACAAACACACACACACACACTTGTACAGTGAGCACGTGTACGAAATTATATATTAGTATAAATGTTTTGGCCCGATGACCTAAAGCTGTTTACCGCGTTACATTACTACGTTTACTTTTACGATTCAGATGATGTCAGTTTGGATGACAACATCGATGAATCACTGATCAGAGTATTTTTGTATAAAAACAAAACTGTTACATATATTATAATATGATGATAAAACATTCATTATACTTAGATAACAGTATTTGGTAACAAAATATAAATATTTGATTAAAGTTTTCAGAGAACAAAGTTACTATTATTATCTCATACATATAACCCCATTAATCTTATTTTTTTCGTTGAACAAGCCAAAATTTTTAAATTTAATTTAAGATGGCTGTAGATTTCTTCAAAAACAATTTGTTACAAGCAACTGTTTGCAATAAATGCTCATGGTAGATATTATTTGACGACGACAAACGAGCGGGCGCACCTGTTATACATTTTTAATATTTATAATTAAAACTTGCATTTCTTGTAATGAATAAATAATTTATTCCAAAGCGAAATTGAGTGAGTAAGAAACAAAAATCGTTCAACATTAAAATATTGTCATGATCCGGAGAAAAATTAAAAGACAATGATTTTAAATAGCCAACTATGGTGAAAAATATAATGAGAAAATATCTCAATATTATTGTTTCCTAATACACACGTAATAAAACCCTTTAACCAATACAATGTATTTATTTATTTCTATCAGTTGTCTATCTTAATATTTTATTCTATATAAAATTTAATTTTAACAATCCAGTTTTAATAAGATAACTTGAACAAAATAAATAACTTTAAATTAAGGATTAACCAAATAAACGTTGTACAAGACTATACGTGTTCACAACAATTATCTTTTTAGACAACTTTGAAAAATATACATTCTGTATAACTTTTGTTACAGTAAAATAAAATATATATCAGATTGAATTTAAACGTGACGAATAATTCTCAGATTTAATTCTAGTATGACTTATGACGATCATTGTAAACTTTACAATGTAAAGGGGAAAGCGGAAAATTTCAATAAGTGTCATACGATATATTTTAATATAAAGTTACAGGTATTTAAACATTTGCTCAAAAAGACTTTTTAAATTATTTGACATTAAAAATACAAAATTAGTAAAGTTACAAAACAAACTGAATTATTTATTCACGCAGACGGAGAAAATCAAATTTTACAACATAAAGCCAGCATGAAAGTATATGATCCAATGATTTAAAAATAAACGTACAATAAGAATCACATTGTGAGCAATACTTCTCCGTTTCCAATAAAAAACAAAATTTTTAAAATAACTTTCTGAGTATTAACACATGACAAATAAGTAAAAAACATCAATGTATGAAAGTTATATAAATAAATATATTTCATGAAATGTTATCGTTATGTTATGAAATCATTTTATTAAAACAATTAATAATACTGTGTAAATTCAGTGTCCATGTAAGGGCAAAGTAAGCAGGACACAAAATACTTTCTATAAAAAAAAATAATATATCAAAATATTTGCGTGTTCCAAAAAAAAAAAAATTTAATGAAAATTTTTTGACTTTTTGGAAGAAATTGAACCCATAAACACATTTTTTCCGAAATCATAACCAAAATAAATATTAAAAACAAATAAATACACTTTGATAAGATATTCTTAAATGAAAAATTATTTTCAACCGCGACCAGAGTTCGTTCGATTACGTTGATAATTTACTTCATCGGAAAAATAATCATTTTATTTAAGTAAAAAAACAAGACTTTTAACAGATATTTTTTTATTCAAATAATACAAATATTTTAGATTATTGCTATCGAACGTTTTTTAATCTCGTTAACAAATCATAATTTGAACAGTATAAAATAAACGCATAGTTTAATTTGATAGAAAATATTATAAGGTATAGTACTAATTGTTTTACTTGAAAACTAAAAAAGTATTTCAAAAGACAAAGAACGCAAAAAATGTTTAATTCTTCTCATTATAGTTATGTAATGATTAAAATAGAGATATTGTATCATTATAAATTATGGGAATGTCATAACCCAACTCGGAAAAGTACTTGAATTAGGCGACAAACTCAGGGCCAGTATTAGGATTAAAAAAGGTTCTCTGATCATATGATAATTGGGTTCTTATAAAAAAAAACCCTCTATTATCCGTAGGGTCATTGAATACTAACAAGGTGAAAATCAACTACATTATTAATTTTACAAATGAAAAACGTTTAAAATATTACTAACTAGCCACATCTAATATAATATAATGAGAAAGTTAAACGGCTTTTTTGGGTCCATTTACTATTAAGTCATATTGAATTTACTTAAAGAAGTTTGTAGGAAACCTAGATTAAATTTAAGATTCAAACGTTGTCTGAAAGTTTTTGTGTGTATAAGGATTTCGAATTTCAATGTGGTTGCTGCACAGCAACCGTTGTCAAACCTCCAGCTGGCTAGCAGCTGTAGACTTAAATGTCTGAAGTAGTTAACTCACACCTGCATAAAATACAAACAAGTAGTTCAACAAATAAGAGTTTATTTACATCTTCAAAACAACCACAATAACGCAGTGTTTAATGAACACTCCCGCGGTTTTTGTGGTGATAAATTCAGTCTGATTATGAACTCTAGTTAATTATCTCCAGCGTTAATTTTCTCGCTGATTCAATAAAATAGAATAATGATGATAATTTATTTATCGATTCACCATAGATTTCTGGTGACTACGAGATTTTAAATTTATACGCACAAAAAATATCTAAGCAAAAACAGTTTAAAGAAAATAACCCTTTTTAATACCTTAGAGAAAACAGTTGTAAATTAATGGATTATAATATTGAGCTTTACGCCTAATAAATGATAAAAATATACTAAAATATAACACAAACCATTAATCAAAGTAGTTTTAAACATTCGAACCTGTTATCGTTTAGATTAGATATGGGTGGTAAATTAAAACTCTAGCTTAAGACTTCCTATTGATAGACAATGTTATTATTTTACAAGTTAAAATTCTCGTTTAATTAACAATGAGCAATGAGTACAAATTACATTTTAAAATTATAACCCAGTTATTAGAGTAATTAATTAACTTACTCGTTAAGTTATCAACTAGAAAAAGAACCACACTAATCACCAAAGTAATAAATCGAAATAGATTCTTAAGAAAGACTCACATTGATAACTGTTAGCTTTATAAGTTTTCAAGAAAAATAATGATTAAAATAATAAAATTAAAAATTTTACACCGAAGAATAAACTTCTGCGATTATGACTCGTTAACGTACACGCAACACAAACGCATTTAAGACGATTACTGTAAGAGTCATTTGGAGCCTCGTCAACAGCGTGAGCAATACAACAAATAGTCATCTGCTCTTTACCAGTACCGGTTTGTCTGTTTATATGATACATTTAAGTGAGAAAAGGGGTGGGGAGTTGAATATCGGTTTTACCCCACCAACGTGTCTATGTTACACTGTAGAAAGTAGGGAGAGAAACATAGATAATGCACTCATGTTTCGCGCGGTTAAACGTTATCAGAAGTCAAACCACAAGTTCGGAGTTTTGTTCTCTTTTATTGCGTAACCAAATACTATTTAACAAATTTTTACTTATAGATTGTCACGAAACAATTTCATTGTCATCGATGACAAAAAGAGTCACTGAAAATACGTAAAAAGAGAGTAAACAATTATTAGCAAACCATCTATAGAAAAATTATGTTAACAGTGGAAGACATCAGTGAATTATAGTTGGGCTGCTCCTGTTTCTTGTCATAACTGATTGAAATTAAAATGTTAAATAACAAAAAAAAATTATGGTAATTTTCAATTACGAACGAGAAAAATGTGTATTATACGTACAAAAAATAACACGTTTTAAGATTATACATTTTGGTAAGTTCCCTACAAAATTCTAGTTTTTCTCGACAGAGTAGTTAAATATTTATAGATATTTCCATTTGTAAATATTCTAAATAATTTAACAATCGATGAAAACATTAACACATGCACATATTATTTAATTTTACGGTATGTATAACATAATAGTTTATATTATGTTCTAGAATTATGAATAAATCAGCAACTATATAGTATTTAACATTATTTAAAGTTTTATTTTTAACTAGGAATGTGTCAGTATACCGGTCACGTCGAAATGATTATTAATATATAATTTAACTGATAAAAAAAAGTTCGCCGACATCAAAAATAAAGTAATTTTGAATATATTAATTAAAAAGAGTGATATTTATTCTAAATATAAATTATAAATTATTATGTTAACAGAACCCATATAATTATAGGATCAGATCAATAACCATTTTATAATCACTATTTTTCAAATTTGGACAAAGTAAAACTACTTAGGACATGATTAATGAGCAGTGATGGTGACATATCACCATTAAAATTAATAGTTAAGAAGTAGTTATTGAAACTAATGTCGATAGAAATGTATACATTTCTAATTAAATTATATTAACAGGATGGATTATTAAGTAACGGTTAAATACTGTCTTATGAAAATATATCATTATACGACACAATTATTATTTTTAATAATATCAAATTTTTTTTAGGCGATTTCGGAATACTTAGGTTTAACATTTACAAGTGATTCATCAACTCTCTCACCTTAAATTATTTTGAAGGAGATATTTCCTCCCTAGTTAGATACCACTGTCTAACTTTAAAGTAATTGTTTAAAAATTTCATAACTTAATTTATCTTTGAGAGTATAAACATAGGCACACTCATACACCACATTTACTGGTCCTGACATACTCTATAGCTCCATGAATCCTTTAAGAATAAACGCTTTTTAATTACAATTGAAGCAAGCAACCAATAGGGCGTCAAAATAATTCACTCACCAAGCGCTAAAAAAATTAAAACGACTCCTTTTTAGGGTAATCATTAAGAAATCTAAGCTAAATTATGAAAATAAAGGCCAAATTTATATTTGATATATTTAATTTATATCTCACCTGCAAATAATTATTTTTATATTTTTATTGAAGAATTAAGGAATTTATGAAAATCTCTAATTAAAATATAATAAAAAAAAGAATCATAATACATACAAGTGAATTTTACACCCAGAATAACTGATTTATACAAATTAGTTTATCACCTACTGGTGATAAACTAAATTCATTTTTTCAAAGTACTCTACTTAAAAATAAGGGAACTATTAGAAGCCTGCCTTTTAAAAATGTTAAATGTTACTGTGATTACACATTGACTATTTCGTTGTAAAATATATGTTTTTAATACATATTTTTTTTTATTATTGACAATTGGTTATGAAAACTAATCAACAATAACTTATTGTTAATATTAATTAGCTACAAGATTCTTTTTAAGAAAAAACATAAAGTAATTAGAATTACGACATTATTTTAGATTTCAAAATAAATAAGACTTAATCTTAAAGGTACTATACCAATTTTTTTAAACAAAATAAGTTTTGTAGTTTATAAAAAATTTTGCGCTGTAATTTTAATTTTGGATTTACTAATTACAATTTATAAAAACTACTTAGAATAATAGCAAGGCTAACATAACACAGAGTGTTCAGTGAGTAAGGAAACAGATTAGTTGTTATAAACAATGAGAACAATAGAAATCAGTTTCCTTACTTACTGAAAACCTATATATTAAATTGAATTTTTTAATTAGATTAACTAGGATGAAATGGAGTAAATTTAGACAAATGTAGATGTTTTAAATTAATTTTTTTTTCTTAAAATATTTAGCAGATTTTATTTTAGATTAAAAAGTTCTGGTTTTAAAACAAAAGCTTATGCATTAATCAAAAAATACATTTTTTTTTTACAATTTGAAATTTAATTAATTTATACTTATCAAAAAAATTTGTATTAAAAATGACTTCTGGATATAGTAAAATTATATGCTATTTATCTTTCATCTTTACCTACTAAGAATATGTTTAGTATTATGAAAAATACAATGTGAACACTAATATATATACAATAATTATATACATTTTATTGACTTGACCTTTGTATAGATCATTTAAAACATTCTAAAATATTATTTAAAGTGATAATATATTTGAAGAGTGAATGTGTCAAACGTTCTATGTGCCAAAAAAGTGAAAAATTGTTTTATTTCTGATTTATGTTCTATGTGCCAAAGGCCACAATCTTGTATGTGTTTCAAATGTCAATTAAATTTTTTACTTGTACAAAATTGCATTCATAGATGGTGTTCGTTATGTGAGACATGCCCATGTTACCATTGTTTTTTGTGTTTTCTGAACAAATATGTTTTTGGCACATAGAATGTTTGTCACATTCACTCTTCATTTGTTTTATTATTACTTAGGGACTAGAACATTGAATTTTATAGTTCCTTAAAAGATTTCATAGGTATAAAATTAATTTCTTATCATACTTAAGATTCATCATATTTTAATACTCAAAAAAAATTATAGGTCTGTTATGTAGTTTAGTTATCAAAAATCTAAGAGGATCCATTTGATAAAATTTATAGTTGTCTTTATTGGAGAGATCTAAGGGCATGTATACAATTAATTGCTAGTATTCCTTACACCCTTTAAACTAACTGAAACTTAAACAAATTAAGAAAAAAAATTTTTTATAATTATTTATAAAATTTCTTAAATTAAAATATTTTTGATCATTTATTACAGCAATTAATATGATGAACAATACAATAATTAAATCTGAAATTATAGAAACTAATAAAAATGTTTGTAAATCTTAAATTACCTATGAAGAACAATACATCAACATGAAATGTGATAGTAAATTATTTGTATTATCAGAAAATGAATTAAAAGCAGATATTAAATTGTAGTATTTGCTATTTAATGTTCATTTTCAAAATTCAATTTCATTATCACTTAGAAGTATGTCAAATAAATTGTTTATTATTTGGCGAATAGCCAAAACCATTAAAAACTGAATTACAAGGATACGTTTATATAAATACTTTTCATAATATAATAAGTAATGACATTTATAACTGCATTAGTGCAGTACATTAGTAGTTTTATAAGTTTATCAAAAAACTAGTTTGATTTATACATGTTTTAATTAAAAACATAATTTTATTTTTACAACTATTAATAAGACTATCAATCTTACAAAAAAGAAAACAATTATATATATATATACAGAAAAAAATTTCCTGAAACATTTTTTTTTATCGTTAACGGAAAAAATGTAATTTTATCAAATGATACACACTGTGTATATAAGCAATAATATTTTACTAACTAACTATGAAGCTATATTTTAATTTTATTGTAATATTTAAATTATCCTTTGATTTTATTTATAGTATTATGTTTTATTTTCAACAATTAATGTCAAATCGCCACACTAGGTATTTTGGTAGGATTACAATGTTTTACATAAGATAAAAATTATATTAAAAATATCTTATTATATAATAGAACAAGAAAAAAAACGCTTTTCTGGAAAAATTACTTAGCGTGCTCGGATTTTCAAAATTTTTTTTTTTTAAGAAAGTACTCGGTCACCAGTCTGGGAAAATTATTGGCGAAAGTCATAAAATTTTTGACGCTCGCCCGCGACCCCAGCGTTTTACGACTTAAGATTTGAAATTTTCAACAGATCCGCCCAATGACATTCCTGAGATATGATAAAAAATCCGTTATGATATGATTCAATCCGTTAAATTATCACCGTTTTACGAGTTTTTTTTTTTTAAGTCCACGCGCACGGCTTTAATATGCGCATTGACTCATTTCTGTGCATACGTTTATTCTGAACCTTAATTATATGGTGTAATATGTATTTTTATTAAGACACTATTTTGCATGTGCACATAACACTTTATTATATATATTATCAAGGAATATGTATGTTATGTTATATATAAATTTCAAGACGGTTATAATTATATAAGTTTGTACTTTCATTATCAGAACAGTACATTATAAATAAACTTATTTTTCTGATATATGATGTATGAGTCTATGAGTGTATCGTTTAAATTGGGATCCATCTATGACAACTATGCTGTCCAACGTCAAATTATAGTTATCAGTATTTTTATCAAAATTAAATTTTTTACATAGTCCCACGTATAATAAACTACTGAATTATTTTGTAACTATTCTATAATATAAACACAATTATTATAATTAGAATATTAATTATTTTTTTGGTTACAAGGGGTGTATTTAAGGAGCAACCAAAGCTATCCTCTGGATTTGTCTTCATGTTATTCAAACATATGCTATTTTGTGTTAAAATTCTGGGTTTTGTACTTTATTTTAAAATACCTGACAAGGGGAGTACACTGATTTTCATTAATATTATATAAATCAAATTAATATAGCATAGAAAGTTAAACTTATTTAAATTTTTTTGCCATTTTTTCTGTTGACGGAAACGACGTATGTTGTGGAGTCAGTAAAACTTGTGTCTTACGCGATTGGGTTTCAAGGTTCCAACCTGCGTATGACAAGGAATTTTTTTCTTAATTCTTTTTAATTTAGAATAAATTTTCAACTCCTTTGATTTTTATCTCATTTAGATTCAATAAAAATCAAGGATGCCATCACTGTAGTCACCCCTCGCGATAAGAAATTTCTTATTCATAGTAAAATTATTTTACTATATTTTAGGTTTTAGCTTCAATGCAAAGCTGAGAAGGTATTTTTTTGTGACTATCGTTTATTTTCTGTGCTGTAACTTGTCCTACTTTTGATGGGTTCTTTTAGTTAAAGTAAATCATCAAAATTAATTAAGTTTTGAATATTTCAATTGTAGAATCTTTTTAAACACCAAAAGTTACTAGGAAATGATTACTATTATTTCTATTTAAGTTATCTATTACGATAAAAATTAAAAAAATATTGAGCTTTTCTGATAAATAGTAATTATAAAATTTCCTGACTGCAAATTAATCTTAAGGGTACATTATTTTTAATTCTCATAAAATTTCCTATTTAATAATATCAATTTCAAACTTTCAAATTGAGCTAAAATTTATGATAATAATTTTTTTTTTATTATTATAAAAATTCACAAAAATCAACTTTAAACGATTAAAAAAATAAGTTAAATATGTCATTTTTCCTATGTTTAACATATTAATAATCAAAATCAGTTTTAATTTTAAACAATTATTTTTTGTTCTTAATTATTGTTTTATATGAAAATACTTAATTTTTAATAATAAGTAATAGTATTAAAACTTGAAAGTGATAGAAAAAGTCTAATTGCATATTTGAAAACATCGCAAAAAGTTAATTTAGAAAAGTATATTTTTGTTTTTGATGAAAATTCCTTGTAGTCCAGTGTATAAAATTTATAACTTTGTTATAAGTAACAAACATTTTTTATTGTAAAGTATTGCATTAAGCTCTTTAAATTTTTATACGAGTTAAAAGTAAAGAAATATACAACTTCTTTATTATTTTTATAATTTCTCCGTATAAATTACAATATTAAATTATTGAATATCAATTTCATACTTAATTTAATTACTATAATTATTATTTATTCATATATTATAATTATAAATCAAAAAACTAATCGGGATAAAATTAAGGCAATAAAAGTTATTGTTGCTTTTGAAATAATATTCTAATTTCTTAAAATTAAACACTATGTACAAATTTGCATCGAAACGTTTCTTATGATAGTGATTTTAATCACTGTCAGATATCATCTATACTATAAATAAGATTGTAAATGGTCATGAATTAATAACACTATATGAGTGTAATACATAAAACAGAATTAATTACACACACACACACATATATATATATATATTTGGTTTTCATATATACATATACACGTTGGAGAAATACCTTACAAATGTAGGATGCGTGAAAAATCATTTATCCAGAAATGATTTTGAAAGCCACATCAACGTCAACACATTAGGGATTTGCCTCATTAATGTAGCATGTGTCATAGGTTGTTTGCCAAAAAAAAATCATCCTATAACTCATGAATACACTCATTCGCATGTAAAACTTTAAAATGTAATAAATATGAGAAATCATTAACTTGAAATTATTACTTAAAAAGACATGCAAGTACTCAAACCGGAGAAAAACTTGAATCTAATGCTTGTGAAAAATCGTTGCCGAAAATTGGTTTAATAAAATATATAAATGCAAAAATTGTAAGTATTTTCATAGTTAAAATTGTTTAAGAATCATTTATTTAACTTATATCATTGAATATTTTGCGCATGGTTCACTAAAGCAACATTAATGTAGAATTTATATAATAAAATTTAAAAACCGTATTTAGTTTTTGTTTTAAAACATGACCAATTAGTGAAATTAGTAACAAAATTTAAAATTTTTACTCTACTATTAATTAAAAAACATAAAATTTTAAAAGAGTAAAATTTTATCAATTTAGTTATATTAGTTTTCATTTTAGAATCATGTGTAAAATTTATAAGTATAGAACTGTAAATTTAATTTTGCCTCCTCCAATTTTTTTTTTTTTTGTTATATAACTTTTCATTATGCTTAAATAAGACTACATATTAACTGAGAAATTTTCGATATACATATGTTACATGAATCCCAAGTATAAAATTTTTATAGAGCCCGAGTGGTAATCGCCTCACATACTTATAGTTGGAGTGAAAGTGTATTTTTACTTAAAAATTTATGATAAAAAAAAAATCTCAGTTGTGGTGAACCTAATTTGACCACAATCATTTTGTATAATAATCATTATACATAATTGATTCCATTCTTTTTTTGTATCGAATTGACAAAATTTTAAGAAATACAATTTATATGGTATAACAAAATGTTACCCATTATGTAAACATAATTATCTTGTTTAAATATAATTCAATGCATATTAAAAGTTAACTTTTAATTTTGTGACTTTAAGCGCAAGTGTTTTAGGCATTTGTTTGATTGGACATTCACAAAAATATAAATGGAAAAAACCTACTTGAGACATATTTTAGATATAACTATAATTCATTCACCTAGATTTCGATGAACAATTTTCAAACATAAAATATTTATATGTAAACATCAACAATTTATATTCCTTGAACTTAACAAATATATTTTAACAATCAGCTTAGAATTATTTAATTAAATGCAACGAACAATCTACAGATCATTTTTAGTGTTATCAACTAATTATTAAGGTTCGACAATATGTAGTTTATAAACGGTAAAGATCATCAAAAGTTTAAAATAGAAAAGAAAATCGCCATGGTAAAAAAGTTGATAATATTATTCTAAACTATACTGGAAAAATACTTTGTACACCCAAAATAATTCTATCCGTGTTAAACGCCAATGAAAGAAAATAATCTTCCGTATTATTTTAAATGTTTAATTGAAATAGAGAAAAAATTCTAATTAATTGTTATAAATATAATTAGTCGTGAATATTGGGAAATATCAATGATTTTTAAAAGAAAATAATGTATGAAAATTACTTTTTTGTAAACACCTTTTACGCATTATCTTGTGGACTTGAAACAAAAGACAAAACCTTCGAGCTATTCTACGGATTTTCCATAAATCACAACTATTCATCAACTAATAAGCGGCATATAATTACTATAGGTAATTCATTGATAGTTAAATGTCGTCATTTAAGATTTATAGCCGAAGAATATTGCAAAGCGATCCTATTTAAAAGACAGTCATGAAACGACTTTTTAATGAATTTGTGTATCAAGTATTTCGTAGATCAAGTGATTGTCATTGATGAAACAATGTGATTATACGTGCATTTTTCACCGCATAAGTTTTCATAAACATTTCATTCAGTTTCATTTAAAGTAGCTCCCTACTTACCGGGTCGTGTGCTCAACGTGAGTATTTTAGGTTATTTTTAATTTTACTAATATTATTATGAATTACATTGTACCTCTTGTTTAAGATTTAGGTGGTTTTTTTTTAATTTTACTTCGTTACATTAAGTGTACATTACATTACCAATGCGTTTGACGAAAAATGTTTCTCCTAGTAAATAATAACAATAATAATGACAGTAAAAAATAAAAGTGTTAGAACGTGGTTTCAGTTTTTAATTCACAAACAAAACTAGATTCAAGGTGATTGAACTTAAATTATAAAATCTCGTTGTTTTAAATTTTTAATAAATTATACTTAACAATACCATAGTTAAAGATACCTTTATAATTCATCTGATTGTGATACTATAAATTATAATGAGTATGATTATTAAATGTATCAGTCTCCAACTTTCAAACGTTAGAAAATTAATCATGCGCCTAAACTGATTAATACCACTTTAATAGTGTCAATATAACAATTATTTAATGATATTACACAACATATTATTGTTTACAATTGCTATTGAGCATCCACCAATCGACTCAGCAAATTATTCATTCATATACACTGATGAACTTATTAAAATCAGCAAATTTTTTCATCAATACAACGATATTTTTATTAAATAAATAGTAGTTTTTAATAAATATCTATACTTCAAATATTACGAAAAATCAAGGCAACAAACATCTTAAAATTAAAATATTGTAATGATGAAATAATTTAACATGTGTCTAAAATATTTGTTTGATTATTTTTCGGATACTAGACCAATCAGTTAAATTATTGGTGTCGTTAAAATTTATTTGTTTTTAAAAATTTTGAATTTTGCTCCCTTCCACTAATCTCTGCAGTCCAACTCGGTCATATTCGCGTACACGCGTTTTTTTTAAGCAGCTAAGTGTTTATTTAAAACCAAAATCTAAACAAATTTTAATCGGTTCCTTGTTATTGTTTAGCGGTCCAACTAAATAATGATGAACTGTATTGTTATTGCGTGTGTTCACGTCTTCTAGGCGATGGTCGTCACTGTCTCAGTAATGTTAGAATAGCCGTCCGAAAATGTCGAATTATCCGGGCGCGATTGTGTGTCACCGCTGTTCCATGGTTACCACTTTAGTGGTTATTTCCATCGTTTGGTTCTCTCATTTCTCGACGGCAACCACTGAAATCATTTTACAGCCTGATGGAGAACGACCCCTTAATGGGCCAGCAGTTCTTAAAGTAATAGACGATGCCACTGTCATGAAAATCATGAGACAGGATAAAACTGTCTTAAGCGAAGGTAAAGATTTGAACCATCGCCAGGATCAACAATTCTTAGTAATTGATGGCAATGTGTCGTGTCCCATAACTTTGAATCGAACATTGAGGACTCAGCAATTATTAGAAACCGCTGCTGACTCTATCACTAAATTTCTACCATTTATTATGCCTCCTGACCATAACACTAAGTGCTACAAACACACTCTTATGTACCTAAGCGATCTTAATGATTTCAAATTATGGGCCACCAAAAGTAAGTACTGATTGAAAATTATACTTAATTTAAGAATCAGATTAATGAGGGTAAGATTAAGATTTTTTTAAGTAAATATAGGCGTAGTCTGCTAGGCGATGACAACCCCCTTAATATTTTATGGCTATTTTTAAAACGTGTAAATAATATTGTTATTGTTATATTATTTTGTTTCACGGGAGTTTTTTTACAAAGAAAATAAACCTATTAAATTTTAGATTTTAGTTATGTGCAATTATGTTATGTATTATATGAAACTTAACTCAAATCTTAATACTTGCATATAATTATTAATATAAACATTACTAGAACTTAGAGGGGAGGAAATGTAAACGATTCATTTTAGAAAATTGTGTAAAAAGTACATTTTTTATCAGAAGTTATAAACTTTTTACGAAATTACTATGATAGAGTATCTCAAAAAGGTATTTTTTTTATAGATGTTGGCTGTATTGATTCTATGTTTACCATTAAAAATATTTCAGAGATATTGTAAACATTTTTATATACTTCTAACGACCAAAACATTCTTGTATCATCTAGATTTGGTTTTTGATAAGACGTTTTATAGTATTAAATAGTGATATAGTCCTAAAAATGTTCGTGGGTATACGCCTGATCACAGCATTACTCCCTACTCCCATAACCTCTAAGAAATAAAATTTTTAATGATAATTTTTCCAAGAAAAGGTGCCTAAAAACTCTTATGTTTTTCGATTATTTTTGAAAACATTTCCCTGATTTCGTCACTACCTCTAACAATTTTTCTTAAATTTTAATTCTTAAAGTTAAGTTTGGAATGAAATAATTAATATAAATTAACACAATAATATAAAACTAAAAACAATTATAAAATCAAATGTCAAAAGTGGTCAATCCTCTTTTAACGAAGGTGACAACCCTACGTATACTCCTTAAATTCTAACTTTTAATTTTTACAAGTATAGAATTAGTATATATAGTATAAACTATCTTCATAATCCTTATCAGTCGGTAACTTGATTTAAAATTGAAAGTATGGCCAATGAGGAGTTTAGTTCTTTTAGTCTTCTGAATGCGCCACTAAGTACAGCAAATACTAATTCAAAATTGAAATAGATTAAAAATTAAATGGTAGCGCATGATTCAATTGTATAAATATTTTACTTTTATATGTATACTTTTACTAAAATTATTATTAAATCCATAATAAACATTTTAACGATATACCGTCTGATAGACTGTTGTAAGTCAATGAAACTTATGTTTATATTTTGACTTGTGTAGTGTTTGACGCATCAGCCAAGTTTTTATCGTCGGGTTGGATGATCGGAAACACATATAATCTTGGAAATTTTGACGAATGCATCGAAATTGAAACATCCGTTAATGATGAATTCATACAGGGACAATATTGTTTAGCTGAAATTGAAATTAATCCATTAACTACTTCAAAATACAGACCATTGAGTGCTCATCTTTTCAATGAATCTGCGTGGAGCACTATTACGGTAAGGGTTCCTAATAAAGAAATTCGACAACTATTAATTTTTTTCATTTACACGATGAAAAAATAATATATAAACCGTTTTTAAAAACCTGAGTAAAATAATTTGAATAATTAGAAAATATACAATAAAACACCATATTTTAATATGTGATTTTTAAGTTGTATTATTGCCTTTATAATTTTGGAGATATAGGAAATAAAAAAGTTCAGTAATAACAGAAATTATATGTGAAAAGTAAAACCAGTTGTAGATTATACTTTCAAACAAAATATAATACTCTCAATTAAAATTTCTTTCTTGACTATTAATACACTAAACAAATTTCAGATTAAAAGTTAAATTCATCACCCAAATAGTATTGAAAATATTAGAAATTCAAGTGCTGAATTAAGCCTGCTATTTTTTTTACCAATTTTTAAATGTTATTATAAGTTTTTATGTTATGTAAGTTTTCTCTACATATTGTGTCTAGAAATGTAAACGTCTTTTGAACATTTCCACTCGACTATTTTGCTTTACTGATACATTACGAGAGCTTATATGAATATTGAAGCTTTTATATTGGAATCCCGTGTTAGTGATATCATAGCAAAATAATAGGTAGGACAACATTTTTTAAAATTGCTACTCACTGCTTAAGAATCGCATGACTATTTTCTGTTGTTGGATGACTTAGTAATTAAAGAAACAATTTTTGAAGGGGAAAAATCCGTAAAAGAAATTAATAGTTAGGTTAGGTTTAATATATTTTACAAAGTTTAGTTTACCTTTTTAATAAAATATATCTAAATAATTATTATATTCTTGCAATTTTAACTTCTAACTTTGTTATTTTGAAAAATAACAGACTTGTATTCCTTTACAGTTGTTCGGGCTATTAATAAGTCGTTAGTATTCGTATATTTTGCATAGTAAATTTTTGATAACTTATAAATAATTTCTATTGAATAGAATTTATTATTCAAATTATAATGTTCTCAAATATATAAAGACTTTAATACACAATCATTAATATTTGTGTACTTGAAATTTATATGTTAACTCATTGACCAACCACCCCATTTGATGGTAAGACAATTGCTCTGATGGAACTTGGGGATCAAACCCCACTCATCCAAGACTAATTAGGCGTTCTAAAAGTAGCTGGTATTTTTATTATTTTTAAAAATGTAACACTTTTTTAGGAATTGACATTTGATCCTAACAAAAGCATGCGAAATAGAATCTACATGGCACAATGCATACCACATACCTGTTCTAGCGAAAATGTTAGGACGCATTTTGAAGGAATTTTTAAAGAATGGCCACAAAAGCAAGTGTTGACTTCAGTAGGAGAGATCAAGTGTCAAACTAAAAACGAAATTCCGTGGACTTGGGGAGCTTTTACACTCTTGTATGCAAAAATTTATTATTCATAGACATAAATAAGTTAATTTAAAAATATTTCCGGCAGTTAATAAAAATAACTTATACAATTTATAATAAATAATCAATAACTTCATATAAAATATCTTTGAGGAAGGTTACACTTCTCCTCACCTATTAACGTATGTGATATATTTTAGAACTATTATCGGCCTATCATTGATTTTAAGTTTTGTGAGTACTGCTTATGATTTATTTACATCTATGTCGTCATTCCGGGAGTTTCAATTACCTGGTAATTTACATTTATATAGATGCGTATAAATTTTATAGCAAATATGACAATAATTTTTAACTCAATTTGTTTTATTACTAGAAAAATCTAAGACGCATCAAGTCCTTCAATCATTTTCACTTTCCAGAAATGTGCGCAAGTTACTGACTTTCCCAAAAACATCTGATAATTTAGAATGCATTCATGGGTTGAAATTTATTTCAACTTGTTTTATTATTGTTGGTCATCGTTTTATGTTCTCCCTAGGTGCACCTATAATGAACACAGAATTTATCGAAACTGTAAGAAAATCTATTTTTTGTCATTTTGTAGTTTTAACTATTGTTAACAGTTTTACAGTAAACTTGAAGCTATGGTGATTCTTAATGGTCCAATTTTGGTCGACACTTTTTTCATAATAAGTGGTTTTCTTGCTTGTTATTTACTATTAGAACACATTCAAAACCATCCTAAGACTTACCGAATATCATTATTTTATATTCATCGCTATGTAAGGTATGTTGATGTTTCATCATAAAAATTTGTTTTAGTTCTAGAATTCAATAAATTTAAGTTGAAACATTTATCATTTAACATTTATTTAATTTAAATTGTAATATTTTTGAATAGGTTAACACCTGTGTACGCTATCGTCTTGGCTTTTTACTGTACTCTCTTAATCAGGATTGGTGATGGCCCTATGTGGTCTGAAAAAATAGGTGCAGAAGTAGACCGATGTCAACTGAGTTGGTGGACAAATATATTGTACATAAACAATTATGTTGGAGCTGACAAATTGGTATGTTTCGTTAATTAAGCAAGTATTGTAAACTCGTATTAATAAATATTTTTTGTATAGTGTATGATCCAATCATGGTACATAGCATGCGACACACATTTATTTTTAACAGCCCCTATAATAGTGAGCTTGTTATATCATAAGCCTCAACTAGGAAGATTTGTGCTGGTTTCTATATTGGTTTTGTCAATCGCTACTACATTTTTTGTCACTTACTCAGGAAAGCTAGATGCATTTCTCTTGGTTCACATAAAAATTCTCAGGGACCCAGTGGTTAATAAAACATTTAAAAATCTATATATACCGACACATACTAGGGCTACGCCGTACTATATCGGTATGATTACTGGTTTGGTTCGTCACAAAATGAAACACACTTCCTACAAAATAAACAAAGTATAAAAGTTTCTTTTATGTTTTAACAAGTAGTTGACGAATTTTTTTTTCTAAGTACATTGTATGGATAAATTGGATGTTATCTATAACATTAATGAGCGGCACATTATTATCGGCCTGGTGGTTTTACAAGCCTGACTACACATATGATGCTTTTGTAGCTTCACTGTACGGTGCTTTGTATCGAACGACATGGGCAACTGGTGTAAGTTGGACAATTATCGCTGTATCCACTGGAAATGGAGGTAAGTCTTTCTTTTTAGTTGATTATTATACTACCGCCTTCACATTTCAATGGATGGTTTTAGGTTTCATTGAACCTTTATTATGTTGGAAACCAGTCATAACATTAAGTCGATTAACTTATTGTGCATTTTTATGTCATGGAGGCCTACAACTATACGCCATTGGTAACATTAGAACTCCTTATTATGCTTCATGTTTTAACTTGGTAAAATATATTTTAAACTAATAATAATTTGATTAGAGTTTGTATTTACCAAAATATATTTACAGGTTTGGTCGTGTATGGGAGATATAACTTTGTCCTTTTTAACTGCATTTGGATTAACTTTGCTCTACGAATCTCCAATTTTAGGATTAGAAAAAATAGTATTTAGCAAAGGTTTATTTTGTAATTGATGTTCTATCGAACAAAATAAATATAATATTTTATTTTAGTTTCAGGTGATAAACCAAATTATGAAAAAAACATCAAAACAACTAATATAACAAACTTAAGAGAAAAAACTGATAGACAACAAGCGAACGACAGACCTTCAGTTTAAACATTGTAGTTATAATTTTAAAACATTTGTAACTATAGGGTCATTTTTTAAATTTACGTAGTTTTGTACAGATATATTTTCATATTTTTCTTTTTATACTTGTAACTCTAATGTATAAGCAGAAATATTTTAACTACGTTTTCAATATGATTTTATTTATTTTAAATAAATAAGAAAAAAATGAAATTTCTTAAATAATTTCAAAAATCAAACTTTAATTTCTACTAATGTCAAATATGAAAATGAAAAGGCATATGGCTTAATACAAATCATTAGAGGGGAATAATCAGTATTATAAATATAACATGAAACTTTTCAACTATAAAAAACATATGTTAACTTTTTACTAATAAGTAATAATTTTTCACCCAATTTGAACCAAATGAAATAAATAAAATATATAATACATATAGCGATCATCAGATAATAGCTGTCATTGGAATTATAATACAATTAAGTTTTTTTTTTATTACAGAAAGTCTCCATTGGTTATTAAACAAATTAATTAATATTTACAATGATTACATTAAATTTTGATTTTAATTTTTATTAACTTGATGTAAGATTTTATTAACACAATTATTGCATTAACAAATGTTAATAAGTCACAGTGCATTGAATAAATTTTCTAAGATTGCAAAATATTATTATTAAGGATCAGAATTATATGTATTTATAAATTATTTGAAACATGTTTTTTTTACAAGTTTGTCATAAGATTATTTAGCGATATAGAAATAATTTTCATTTTAGGGTGAATGAACCCCCAAAACTATAACCTCAGTAAAACACATTAATAAGTTTTTAAGTCAGTATGATGTTTTCAGAATAACTTAATAAAAAATATAAATACATAAATGTATGTATAAATACATACTTTCCAAACCCTAGTTATAATTCTCTTAAATTTTACCTAACAATTATTACAAATTTTAATTCTATTAAATATAAAAAATAAACCCATGATAGTAAATTCTTCGAAAAGAATTGAATTACTTTAGTAAATTTAAACTATATTTCCTAATTCTGGTAAGAAATCTCTACTAATTATTTTTCCCTTTCATAGAAGCTTAAAAATTTGCGCTATTAAATAACCATTGTTTATTTAGTATTTATTATTTCAACGTTTATTTAGGAATTTTTTTTCTAGTTTATAACATAATATATTTTAGAGTCCATTTTATAAATGGCTAACGATTGTTAATTGAGCATTAATATCTAATTTTTTAATTTTATAGACCTTAAATTATACATCAATTTGTTAAATTAACCATATAAACCATGATTTTGTATTAATTTTTCATTGATTAGAATGAGTATTTTTATTTCATAGACAATCTAATATTATACTAATATTTAAAAAATAAGTGTCATAAATTTTCATTAAATAAAAAATTCACATATTTCAAGTATTAATTTTACTACTTGTCAATTAGTAATTGACTTATAATAGAAATTATGTGATAAAAAATTTAAATATTAATTAATTAAATTAATTGTTTATTTTGAATAAAATCAAAATATTGTGGTACAGTTAAAAAAAGTCTTAAAGTAGAAACTTATCATTATTACTAATTTGATGCGATTTTTCGGAAGTACCAAGCAATCATAAGTAAAAAAAAATTTACATAAATTATTCATTTTGTAAAAAAAAAGTATTTATATATAAAGAAATATACGATTATTTCTGCAATATATTACAAGCAGAGTAAGTATTTATTTTTTTTTTTTTTTAATGAGTAAAATATAAGAACCAAGCTTAAGTTTGTTGTATTCAACTCGTGTTGTATCATCAATAACTTTTTCAACTTAGGAATGTGAAGCACGTTGACGTCTTGGAGAATAGCTCCTTGAACGTGAGCGAGAAGGTGGAGCACGTCGCTTTGGTGAACGAGATCGAGACCTAAAATGATATTTAATTACTTTAAAGAATTATAAATATATTTATTTAAAATTTTATAATCATAATAATTCCAATATTATTCACTAAAGGGGGACTCCATTATACTCACTTGATACAGCTCATAATCAAACTTCAAACATTAACCTTTGAAAATTCGTGTAAAAAAAAAACAAAACAAAATCTAAATACCTTGAACACGTACACAGTTCTGTTTTCAATGAAAATTTAAATAACATTGTATGTTATTTAGATGGAGTGTGAGTGGAGACGTTAAAACAGCCAATAAAGCATACGAGTGCTTGCGAAGAGTTGATTGAGGGTAGAGGTGATGGAAGAATAGATTGTAGAATAGTGTAGAATAGGCTGATCCAAACATGTGATGTTAAATAACACATTACAGTAATTCAATTTGGTAGAATTGTTGGAGCGAGCGAAGTACAAAAATGGTTGATATAGTCATTTTTCACTGACCAAGGTAATTTTTTTAAGATGGGGTGAATAATTTTTTTAGTATGGGCGATAACCAATGATCCTTTTCCTGTAAATTATCCCAAAAATAAATAAGATCTAATTAAGCCCATTTAGAAAAATAAAAACAAATAAAAATAAAAAGGTATGAGATCGGTTTCAAATGAAAAAGATAATTTTTAAAACTGCATAACCCATAAAGAGAATTGAACATAAGTATAATTTTTTTTCGAAATATATTGATGAGAGTAGAAAAAACATAATAAGTATTTGCATTTTTGTATTAGTTGAATAATATATCAAAATTAAACAATCATAAATTGAATACAATTATTCTTTAAATATAAACAAGCTATTTTCTATAGATATGATAGTGGTTAATTCAAATCTAACTGTTAATATTTGCATAGTATTTTACTGAAGTTTTAAATAAAAAAATTGATCAATTAATAATAAAATATATACATTGACCCCATGATTTAAGTTTTCTGCTATAAAAGGAACTTTATTTTTTCTTAGTTTCTATTTCAAAATATAAAATAATATTTATATATCTCGAGAATGGGTTCTTTAAACCCAAACAACGGATATAAATTTATCATCTTCAATATATTTTTAAACTATTAATAACATAAAATTTAAAAAGGTCTTAAGGTAAGAAAAAGTAAGTTTATGCTAACTGAAGATTATAATTCCATGAAAGTAGATTAAAATTAATTAGAACACCATTTATTCAATTTAAATATAATAGAAGTGTTTAAATTTTTTACCTGTCATTGTATCTATCATTGTTGTACCGTGGAGGTCCTCTGTTGTAGCCACCGCCCCCACCTCCTCCTCCACCTCTACGATCACCACCACCACGGCCATCTCTTCCATTTCGAGGTCGATTACTAGACATTTCTACTCGAACACGAACTCCACAGATACGACTATTCATTAAAAAAAAATATTAAAATTATAACACAACCTACAAGAAAAAAATTTGATCAAAACTTCAAAGATGAAAATTATTATACCTTAATTGTGTATAATAGTGAATTTGAAAAATATAATAATTTAAATAACTAGGTAACAGGACTAGACCTATTTCTTTATATTATATTTTTATGTTTTTCCTTGTTAAATTAGACATCAAAATAATTTTAATATGATAAATCTTAAAAGCTAACACAAGAATAAAAGTATTTTTAAGATTAATATGATACTTACGTCCCATCAAGTCCCCTAACTGCATCTTCAGCGTCTCTTGGGTCTTCAAACTCAACAAAAGCAAAACCAGGTGGATTTCTTGCAATCCAAGTATTTTTCAAAGGACCATATTTAGTAAATGATGCTTCAATTTCATGTTTAGTACCATTTTGGCCTAAGTTACCAATGTACACTTTGCATGACTGATCCCAGTCACGATGAGACATATTAATTTAAATAGTTAAAAAATAACCTGAAACAAAAATTTTAAATTAATAATATTAGTTAAAAGTGAAAAATTCTTATTATATTAAAAGAATACATTTAATAAAAATAATTTTTTTTTTTTAATTTTTTCTATTTCTTAAATGAAATTGTTAAAAAAAATTTTTTATTAATACATAAAAAGGTATACTACCCTAATTTTTTATTATGATATTAAATATTCCAAAATTTAAATACCAAATTAATTTCACATTTCGAGGTTATATTTAACACACCATAACAATTTTTGAACATTAATAACTAAGAAATTATTTTAAGTAAGAAATATCTGTTACTATTTAATTAGACTGAATCAAAATTAAAATATGTTAAAAGCAATTGAAAAAAGGTTATCTGTAAAAGAATTTGTTAATACTCCAATTTCTATAATATTAGATTTACCACATTTAATACAACATAGAAAATGTTATTATGGTCAATTTTAAAAGACACGTCTTCAAATATCAATTGAATTAAATTAAAGATGACATCTTATGATATAAAAATATAGTTTCGGTGTAAAAAATAAAATCTAAGTATTAGTATAAATTCAAGTATCGAATAACTTACGATTAATATTTAACAGCAGCTAGCTCGAAAATTCCAATACAATTAGTAATACGTTTGTAGTTAGTAAATTATTTGCATGGGTTCCTTAAAACGTCCAATGCCCAACAACAATGAGTTGAAAGAAGAACGGAAAACAATTTAAGAGAACTCGGACTAAGCTATGCGTAAAATTACAATCTGATGAATATTGGCACTGGCAATGTCTGAAGAATGTAATGATTCGTGTACGGGTAAAAGAGAGATGGAAAATGTAAACAAAATGGATGTCGATTTTCGAGCGAGTAGAGTAAGTCGGAGAGGCTCTGTTACATGCTATGTTGCCATTTCTTCACCGGCACAGAATTGAAATTACTGATATTATGATCAATTTACAGAGCAACGCTGTAAAAAATTATTTACAATATTTATTATTGTCATGAACTTTACAAAAGTTGTATAATATGTAATTACTAACATTTTTTAAAATATTATAATTTAAAAAAAGTGTAAAATTGAAAAATATAAACCGTATAAATATATCATTTATTTTAACATTATGTCCTAAAATCCAAAAATGTAATTTTGTATCTGCTCAAATATTTAATATAACGATTTTCAAAAAAAAAAAAATACTATTTTGAAAAAATTAAATAAGACGAAGTCTTTTACACTGTTAAATGTGAATAATGAATAATGTATCAGCATATTTTAAACCCTATTTCTTAGGTTGTTGATTACCTAACAATTGTTTCCTTGGGAATAATCATTTTGATTATAAATCTAACTCAATTGAGTAACGCTCGTTGAATGATTTGATCATGTCTACTAGACTTAAACCATTTGTTAGTATTCCTGAACCATTTGAATGGCCTTTAATTGGCCATACTTACTTATTTCTTCCAATAATTGGTAAGCATTAACAGTTTATGTTGAAAATATTTGTATACATATATTGTAACTATTTTTAGGGTCTTATAGTAGTGAACGATTAACTGAAGCAATTGGTAACTTAGAATGCAAATTAGGACCTGTATTTAAATTAAAATTGGGTGGCCGAACAATGGTAATCACCACAAGAGCAGAAGATACAAAGATAATGTTTTCCAATGAGGGGAAGAATCCAGTCAGACCTGGATTTCCAGCTTTAAACATATTGAGAAAGAAACTATTCAATTCTGGAGGATTAATATCTGAGTTAGTCTTTTACTATACTTACACTACTATACAATTTATGTAAATTTATTACTGTTTAAGAAATCATATTTAACAATTAAAATTTTTAACTAATGACAAAATATTTTTTTAAATAAACAATGCATTTTGATAACCTTAAACAATGTTGGGAATTTGATTTGATATTAATAATAAAAATATGTGTACATTTGTTTTTAAGAAACATTATTGTTTGGCTTCTATTTTTTTGTTTACTAAATAAACAATAACTGTTCTATTAACTATTTTATCTTACAAAAGTTGTATATGTATATATATATTATTAATACTTCTATACAAAATTTTAAATCAATATTATTATAGATATGTAAAAATTTTTTGTTACAATTAAAAAAATATATTTATAGAAATGGACCTGAATGGTATAGGTTACGAAAACCCATAGCTGCACTGCAAAAAAAAAGTATTTATACTAGTTTTATACCTCAACATCAAGAAGTTGCAATTGATTTTATTGACTACATTAAAAAAAATAGGGGAAAAGACAATATTTTAGAAAATGTATTGTATCATATGATGAAATTCTCCATTGATGGTAACAAATTGATACAAATAAAACTATGAATGCATATTGTAAGTAATAGTTATATTTATTTATTTAGCAATCTCTGTTGTGTCTCCTGGCTTTAGAGTTAAGTGTACAAATACTTTGCAGTCAGACATTTTTGTAAGGGCTGGTATTGATTTTATGGACGGATTATATCTTAGCCTAATGGATTTACCAATCTGGAATATTTATAAAACATATGCTTATAAAAAACTAGAATATTCTCATTCAGTTGTACACAAGTAATATATCTCAATCCTAGTTTAAACATTGGAACAAAAATGATTTGATAATTTATAATTTAATTTTTAGTTTTATTAATGAATGTTACATTCAGTCGTATGAAAGTATTCTTATTGACTCATTGTGTAAAAATACAAATTTATCAAAGAAAGATATTAGTCTGCTTTTGCTAGAGATATTTTTTGGTGGAATTGATGCAGTAATTATTTTAATTTTAATATAATATATTTAATAGTTACTCAAATGTTATGGATTTTGATAAATCAACAGGTAGCAACAACTTTAACAATGACATTGAACTATATATCTCAAAATCCTAACATACAGCAGGCATGTCAAGATGACATAAAAAATGGAAATATGTTATTTTTGAAAGCTTGTATCAAAGAAACACTAAGAATGTCTCCTACTGGCGGAGCGAATTCACGTATCATACCAAATCAAATAAATATTGGGAATTATGAAATCCCATCAAATGTAATATATTACAATTTTTTAGGGTAATCTTTTATAGTTAATTCAGTTAATAAAACTTTAATTTTTAATTTATATTATCTTAAATAGACATTAGTGATGACTTTTAATTCATTGACATCGATTAGTCAAAAATATTTTGATAATCCATTAGAATATAGACCACAAAGATGGATAAGAACACCAGAAATGAGTAAACTTCACCCATTTGCTTCATTGCCATTTGGTCATGGGCCCAGAATGTGTCCTGGGTATAATATAGCAATGCAAGAAATGACTATATTATTATATGAAGTATGCACTACTTTTCTTTTGCCATTTATTCAAATAATAATTTTTTACTAAAAAAAAAACAGATTTTCAAAAATTTCAACATATATACCAAGAATAGTGAAAAGATTAACATGATTTATCGCATGAACAGAATACCAGACAGAAAAATAGACATAATTTTCAATGACAAATAACTATTTTTTTTTATGTATACCATTTTATTTTGTTTTTATTTTTTTCTAAACAATTTTTTTAATTTTAGTGAAATAAATATTTATCACTAATAATTAAGTATGTGCTACAATATAAAGTAAATATCTTATTTACAAAATATACAATAATTACATTCTTTATACCTAAAAAAAATGTATACACTTTCAATATATAGTCAGAAAATAAAAATTTTCCTTTACATGTTATTTATACATTAGAATTTACAAAACACAAGTAACACTAAGGTAATATTTAAGAATACAATATTTACTGGTATTATTTATATTTTATAGTTAAAGCCATAAAATAAGAATATTTTTAAACTATTAATAAAAATATTTTGTATTAAAATTAAAAAAATATGACCTTAACATTCCTTGTGTAAAAATAAACTATTAATTCGTTTACATTTTTAATTTTTTTTTTTTTTTAAATTATATTTATTAGCATTAAGTGTTCTTGTTTCATAAAATGACAGATGAGATCAATGTGATAACTAAAACAAGTCAGTTTCATAAAATTAATATAAGAATTTTTATTTATTTGTTAAAATAAAATTTAAGATAGTAACAATAAGTTATAAATGATATATTTCTATGTATATTTTTAGACAGAAATTTATCTATAAGATGTCTATTACATTTAAAAATATAACCAGAAAAAAAATTATTTTATTTATAAAAGAAAAATTCATTTCATTAAAGGAGTTTTTCAAATTTGAATTGTTAACATAATTTTACATTTAAGTAAAACTTAAAGACAGTTAATTTGAAATAATGAAATGTGAATAAAATTAATAGTTATTTGTGAAAAAAATAATAAAATACTATAAAAATTATAGGTAAAAAAAAGTATAACAATACCTAATATTACTTTAAAACTACAAAATATAAAACTATTCAATAACAAAATCACTTTATTAAAAAAAAAAATTAATTATAATTTATAAATATAACAAAAAAATATATATATAATAATAATATTGATATAGTTACTAATATAACGTTACACAAATTGCACTTGAATGTTTAAAAGAAGTTTCAAGAATAATTAGAAAGCAGTGTAATTTGATGCCTTTAGAAAACTAAGTTCATTTATAATAAATATTTTTTTTTTTCAAAATAATTTAATGTTTTTTTTGAAGTCTGAAAATTTTAGTTTCTTCATTGAAGGCGCGATAATTCATTAGGCAAAACAATATGTTTTATTTAAAAAACTCAAACTTAAAAATAATGACAGGAGAACAAAGAAGATACAAAATTATGTCCATTACTTAAAAAAATATCAAATAATTTGTTGGTAAGTGTAAAATAGAAGTAATAAATAAAACAAATTATTTCTTAAACAAGTAGATGTGTTCTCTTCAGTAGAATACAAATCAAATAAGTTTATTTGATCTAAATAAAAACACAAGAATTAATAATAAGTAACATTAACAATAGGAGAACACTTCTATCTAAGTAGTCTAGTTTACATCCAAGGTGGATGCCTATTCATAGGATCGTGCATGTTTAAATAACCTGGTGGGAAACCAGTAAGTCCTTGATGTAACATCATTGGGTGCCTTTGTAAGAATTGAGAATAAATATCTGAAGGGTTAGGATTGAATGCTTCTATCGGAGGAGCATATGAAGATTGAGGTCTAAATGCAGCAAAAGCAGGGTTTCGATCAGTTGGTTGTTGAGTTGCAGCAGCAGCTACTGCAGCTGAAGCTGCTTGATCAGCAAAATAACCAGTTGACCGCATCTCATTTAAATAATCTTGATAGCCTTCTTTAACAGCTGGATTAAAATTAAAATGCCCAGCTGACATTTGTGGTTTTACTAATGGCTGATAGTGATGAGGATAAGTAGAATTGTTGTGTGAAGGTTCAATAGTTCTAGAAGGTTCTGGGGGTGGCTGAGTGACAGCAACTGTTTTTTTCTTACGACCAGTCTTTTTAGCTGGTTTTGATGGTGGACCTTGTTCCATCATCATAGATCTGTTCATTTCCATTTTTGATTTGGTCATTTCAGCAACTGAAGGACTTGAATAAGTTGGTTGAGAAACTTTCATAACATCTGTCATAACAGTATTTGTATAAGCTGCCTGACTTACTTTTATCATTTCAGCCATAGAGGCATTAGAATATGTAGGTTGGTTCATATCCAGTTTACTATTTTTCATTATATCATTAACAGAAAGACCTGTATATCCTGGTTGATTATATCGATAATCTATATTTGTTGGTGGTATCATATTTGATAAAGGTCTTCCTGTAGTAAAATCAATATTTTGCGTTTTTCCTGGAATCATATCTTGAATTGGATGAGAATATGATTTTCCAGGTGGTAACACATAATTATATGGTCTTAAATTGATTTGTTTAGGATACTGATCGTAGGGGTTACTATAATTTAATCTGGGTTGAGGAGCTGCTTGCTTAAAATTAGGGGGCATAAACTGACCCGGTGTTGTGCGACTTGCATAATTTAATGGAGCTGAGGTATAACCAAGGCTATCTTTAGAATGATTTGAATAATTTAAAGGAGTTGATGTATAATGTGGTGCTGATACAAATGTTGAATGATTTTGAGTGCTGTAGTTAAATAAGGAATTGGGAACATTTTTTGGTTCACTTTCAGTTCTGTCCCGAGCTATTTGTAAATAATTTAGGCTATTTTGATAACTAACAGGTGGAAGTTGATGATCTAAACTTTGTTGGTAGGCTGAAGGAAGTGGTTGATCATTACGGGGTGGATAACCCATAGGATAACTTAAATCAGAATTAAAGTTTGAATTAGGCATTTGTCCAGGAGCAGGAACAAAAACTCGTTCTTGTTCTTTGCTCGCTATTGTTGGTGTAAACGCCATTTCTTGTGACCTTTCACTTTCATTATACATACGTTTTTTAACTGGGAATATGTTCTGTGTTTTTATTGCTGTATTTACAATAGGCTGAGGATATAACTCTGTATATGTATTTTGAGGAGAATTTTGAGAAGAGTTTTGAGTACCAATATATTGAGGATAGACATTCTGATTTTGTTGATACTCATCAGCTAAATTGGCTACTGGTTCTTTAGGACTATTTACAACATTATGAGGACTATAATAAGGACTATTACTTGAATCTTGAGGACTCAATATTAAATGATGAGGACTTTCTTTTGGACTATTAATAACATTATTGTGTGGACTACAACTAGCTTCATGAGGACTTCCAATAAAATTGTTGCTAGGACTATCACTAGGTAATTCCCTAGGACTAGTAAATGTATTCCGTGGACTTTGCCCATGTGGGCTAGCAGTCATCACGCTAGATGGATTTCTAGGACTACAACTACTACTTTTTTCAGAATTGGGCCTAGCAAAAGCATCTTGATAAAATCCAACTTTAAGTGGTGCATGAGGAATATTTAACACATTTTGATAGGGTTTTAATTGTTGAGGCGAATTAATAACAGATTGAGGTGATAAATATGGTTCATCAAGACTTGGACGAGGAGAATTCCAAGAATCATTTTGTGAAGACTGCTCAGAAACACTGCTTCCTGTACTTGTCTTCCTCTGTCTTTTAGCAATAGGTTTGTCAGGAGATACTAAAGGAGTAGTAGTAGTAGTAGTAGTTGTTTTTTTGTCTGCTTGAACTATAGTATCCTTTTTATCTGATTCTTTCAAAGTATAATCATATGGCACCATATCATTCATAGCATAAGCTGTGTAAATTGGAGAACTTTCATTAACTTCTTGTTTACGTTTAGGTGTAGGTTGAGTCTTTGGAGCTCCAAATGCTTTAAACCAAGCACTAAGATTAGGTGTTGTTTTTTCTGGCTTATCATCTTTTACTTCTAATTCAGATTTATTTTCTTCTTTTTTAAAGACATTATAATTTTCTTCTGGACTCTTCTCACATTCTACTTCCATTTTTTCTAAATCCTTATCTTCATAAGATACTTTAGAAGAAAATCCCATGAGATCAGTATTTAGGACTGTACCTAGGCTAAGAGTTGGTACAGTTTCTAAATCACTTTTTATTGCTTTATGTTTAGAAATAGTTTGACTATCTTCTTGTTTATTTGAGATCAAATTACCTTTACTTTTACCAGGTTGTAAACGATCTATTGTTCTTTGAACTTCACGCTTTTTCTTAACTGGTAGTCCAATTGGTTCTTTAGAAGGGCGCTTTTTTTCCTATAAATAAGAAAGTTAAGCATAGTAAAACTACTATTTCTATTGTAAAAATAACTAATACTTTAAAAAGTAGTCGAGGTTTGTCAAGCTTGTGTGCTTGCCGATATTCTGCATCTAAACGGGATGTTACCTCAGCATCATCCAATACAGATCCACCTAATGTTGCTATAGGTGAATTACTAGCAGAAGAAAAGTTAGGTGTATCATCCAACCACTTATTAATATCCTACCAAAACAATTAAAATAAAATGACCAATTAAAAATCTAATGAGTTTAGAATTTTAATCCTAATATTTTATATCTTGGTTTTAAAACTTGTCTAAAAAATATAGAAAATAAATTGGCTGCATTTTTGCTATAATAAATTATTAATGTACTAATTAGTTGAAACATTGAATAGTTGATAAAATTTTTAGTTGGTTTTTCACCAAAAATAACTAATTTGACTTCACTAAGATACTTAATTCACATTTATTATCATTTATGAGAAACAGAAAAATAAATTGTAATTTTTTTGATATAAATTAATAAGTATTTATTAAATATAATTAATTAATATATTTATATGGTTGTAGAAAGTATGAAAATTAAGAATTTAAATTTTGGATATATTATAATTAGAGCTCATAAACTATAAACTATAAACTTTATGCATTTATAAATTTTATTTTAGTCATCTCTAGAAGTATATCAATGATAAATAGATATACTTTTTTGTTTTTCTTAGTTCTAATCAATGTATATTCATTAGGATTTTAGTTTGAGAAAGACCTGGGAGGATTACTTAGTCTTAAAACTAAAGTTCCTGTGTTACTGTAAATACCTATGATTAATTTTCATGGAGTTGGGTGTTTCCGAAGTGGTCCAAACAAATATTATAAATGCATAGTTCCAAACCCTAATTATAACATATTATAATATATGGATTATATGGATTGAAAAAAAAAATGTACCCATTTTTTAGTACTAAATTTACTTGTGCAATAAATATTGCACTCCTAAAATATAATTTAATCTCTTACTCTTAATGTTTGTTCTGTAACTTCTTCAAGAGCTTGTACTTCAACTGCATTAGTATTTTTAACTACAGTATTCTTTTTAGACTTGACAAATTCTTTAACTGATTTTTTTTTAGTTTCTACTTTAGAATCTAAACTACATGAATCTTCATCAGTTTGTTGAATCAAACTATCAAATTTATTACTAAAACATTTTTATAAAATAATTATTTAATTAATTTCTAACGTTTATGCTAAAATAATAAAAATAAAAATTACCTAGAATCGGAACAATCTTGCAATTTCTCTTCATTTTCTTTATCAGTGTTATTGCTAGACTCTTTGCTACTAGTACTTCTTTGTCGATTTCTAGATTTTCTTGATCTCATTGTTCCATTTTCATACCTTTTGAGGTATGCCATTTCATCATCAGATCCATCAGATAACTCCCAGTCTAAATATTTATGAACACCCATGTTAAATACCCGTTGCAAGTTTCCACACATCACTGTATATTCTGGAGAAGAATAAATAAGAAGTAATTTTGTTTGATTACAATTACATATTAATTTTTAAATAATAAATTTACCATTTGTGGAACCATTGTATTGTTTACAGTTGGCTATAATAAGTTGAAAGTCATGTTTAAACTGATTAAATGTTTTGTACAATCCATCATTAAGCTTATCCTCCATTTGTTGAAGGTCCATTGGAGTTTTAACTACCCTGTAATAACTAGGAGCTATTTCTTCATCAACTGGTTCAAGAAATGGCCAAGCATCTTCATGATCTTTTAATTTGTTTAATATTTTGTACATACCAATTTGTAAATCTTCACTACTGGAACGAAACCTTTAATACATTTATAAAATTTATAAAAAAAAAATTAAGTTATATTTTACAGAAAAGTGTTACTCACCCCATATTTTTAGATTTTCTTTCTTTTGAAGCTTCTATCACAATTTGACCAGTAGCTGAAGCTAAGGAATTATTAGTTTGACGTCCAGTTTTCCTAGAGCTACTTGAAGAATACCCATGGCTTTCATTTTCGCTATCTGAATATGGTCTTTCTTTTGTTTTATTGGGTCTTTCAAGATTTTTTTTTTTTAATCCTTTTTTTTTTAAACCATCTTCATGTTCTTGACATAAATCTTCGTATTTCTTCCTCTCTTCTTTTTGTTGTTTAAGTTTTTCCAATCTTGTCGATTGTCTACGAGGTTGCATTTCTAGTAATCGTTTTCGTTGTAGTCTTTCTTTTTCTTCAAATAAACGAGGTATCTCTGGTAAAAAGTCTTCAGTAATAACTTGATGCAAGGCTCGAACATCTCTATTTTCAGAATCTTCAGTTTTAAGAGCTAATCGTTCCCAGTCACTTTCTGTAAAACAAATAACCTGCCACTTTCCTGAACCCATATCTACTTCTTCTTCATCGGTATCTGAACAAAGTGGCTCTCCTTTTTTTTTTCTTCCTCTTTTTTTCTTTTTCTACAAAATTAAATTAAGAATATAAAATCTCAGTTATCAATTAATAAAAGGAATAAAAAAATATAATACATTAGTATAACTATATTTTCAATTTAAATTTTCATAAAAATAATACAATGGTTACTGATATTGATAAATAAAGATAAATAGTTAATATTAAACATTAATATTTATTATAATTTATTATATCATTATAATCTCTCAAATATTTATATAAATAATCAAAATATGAATTTATTAAACATAAATTAATAATATTCTTTGTAAAGACTTCCTAAAATGTTTAATCACTTTCAATTTTGCAATTAAATCATTGCTCTTGAACTTTTAATGATCAATTTTAAAAGAAAACATATTAAATACTTTCACATTTAAAAAAATGTACATACCACTATATTTTTACAATAAGAATATTAGATATAGACTTACTTTTTTATTGCGAATTACTTTTTCATAATCCTCTTTGTACAAACGAGTACCATAAAAATACCAGTATGCAGATTTGTTTTCATCATAGCCCAAGGGATGTACTCTTAAGCTATCAGAGTCAAGATTTTTAAGAGATTCCATGACATCATCAGCATCTAGCCTAAAATCGCATAAGGTATGAAGTATCTCAACTTTTGTTCGAAGTGGTAAGAATTGAAAGTCAATGTCTGAGTTAAAAGGGTTCTTTAGATTATATTCCTATAAAAAATAATTTTAAAATCAATTAACATATGAAAGAGAAATGTATAGTAAAATTTTTTGAACATTATTAAAATTTTCTTTTTCCTCGCCTTTTTCCTAACTACTTGGGATCGGCGGCCCTAATTCTAAACTTGCACAACACGATCTTCCACATAATCTATTCATACATCAGCTGTCCTCATATCACATTCAATGACATTCCTCCATCTCTTTTTTGGTCTTTTTCTACCTCTTCTTCCTTTAATATTCATTTCTTTAAGTGTTCTTACAGTTTCCAATTCCTTTCTTCTCATAACATGACTAATCTATCTATGTCTATTTTCTCTAATCTTATTCACAATTGCTGCTACATCTATACCTCCTCTTATGTTTTGCGTTCCTTATCCTATCTTCTCTAGACATACATCATCCATCTTAGCATTCTCATTTCTGCTACACTTATTTTCTTATCGACCATACATTCTGAACCATAAATCATAGAACTTACCTCTTAGCCTCATGAAATTCTTTTATTGCATAACACACCAGACGCTTCTCTGCACTTCAACCACCAACACTTAATCCTGTGTCTTACATCTTTGTCAATACCACTGCTCTTTTGCACAATTGATCCTAAATACTTAAAACTTTCCACCTCTCCTATCACGTCCTCACCTACTGTCACTGATCTCCTCAATTACCCTGCCTCCTGTTCTTTTTTGTCAAACTTGTACTCTATATACTCTGTCTTACTCCAACTTATTCTTAATCTCTTTCATTCAAGTACTGATCTCTACACCTCCAGCCATTAATTAATTTTTTCCCTATTTTCTCCTACTAATACTATATTGTCAACAAATAACATGCACCACAGTCTCTCTCCCTGTATTTTTCTAGTAATTTCATTCATTACTATGGAAAATAAGAAAGGGCTTAAAACAGAACATTGGTGCACTCCTATTCTTACCCTAAAATCTTTAGGCACATTTTTTACACTGGTATAAGTGCCACCATACATATCTTCTATTATATTAATGTACCTTTTTGGAACTATTTTTTTCATTAATGCCCACTTTAAAACCTCTCTTGGTATTCTATGATACACTATTTCTAAATCTATAAATACCATACACAACTTTCTTCTTTCCCCTATACTTTTCTATTAGTTATCTTACACAAAAAATATTTGAACATAATTAAAATAATTATAGTATAAATTGTCAAATCATGACTGAATTTTACTTTGAATTATTTTATTTATAAAACCACTAAATATAATCACCTGTTTATAGAAAATAGTGAAAAAAAATTAGCTCTTTTAATTTAGCTAAAAGTATTCTCAACACATTCAATTTTTTTAAATTATAAGTCTTAATAAAAACTACTGGGAATATTAAATCTTCCAATATATTTTGTAAAATTTAATTTAATTTAAATGGGTAAAAAAGTTTAACTGATAAAACCAATTAAAAATTGTATGTCAAAAATAGAGTTTTAAGTAATTTTTACATTTCTATGTAAAAAATGTATACATTAAAGATTTTAACTTATTAAAAATTTAATTAAAATTGAGGACAGGTGCAATTACAATTGTTATAAATTGGACATATAGAGCTATAGCTTGTTCTCTCTAATATATTGATGACATTTTGTTTTGTCATTATTTGAGAATAAAAAAATTTATGGAGACCTTTTCTAGAGCTGGTTATGAATACTAGGTAGGTCTGGTCCAACCCACTGGACCAACCACTGTGAAAAACCTTTAGTTTTTAAAACATATGTTTCATCTCAGCTAACTTATAAAATTTTTTGTCTGTTTCTACATGGATAGAAGAATATAGTAATGGTCTAGGTACATATAAGAGGCGAGTACATTTTTAAGAACTTTTAAGAAGCATTATTTAAAATTATTTATTATTAATTAAAACTTTTGAAATGGTATAAAATGGTGTAAATATACAAATCACTCAGTTTTCTATATTCATTACATACATTTATTATTTTTTAATTAAAAATTTCACTTAGCCAATTTATGTACTAGACTATTGATATGGTGTCTCAAAATAAAAACATTATTAAACGACAACCTGGAAAATGGTCGTCAAAATATATTGAAATTAACACTGACCTTGCATTTTTCCCTGAATAATCTACGCAAAAACATTTGGTAATTGAATGTGGATATGCTATTGTTGCCAAAGCAGCCTGACAAAAGTCTTGCAATGAGTTCCTGTAATAATGAGTTGCCATTGTCTTCAGTTCCATCGGTCAATAATGCAGCTTCGAGATCCTTAAATGGTTATAAATCAATAGAATAACACATATTAAAAAAATATAGTGTGTAAATAGACAAGAAAATCCTTTACTTCGATATCAAAATCTAGCAGATCGAAGGATACACGGAACAAAGAACAAAAATGAGCAATACTCGGAACTTCCCACCATGAATGGATATCTAAAAACCAAAAAATTTATTAAAAGTTGTTAAAAATTACAATTATTAACCTTATAGAAAAGGAAAGAAGTTTAACAATTTTTTAAATCAATATTTTATATAGTACTTTTACGCACGTTTACATAATTAAAAACAAACACTATGATTTGTATAACATTAAATTGACCAGAGACCTCTAATATTATGTAATTTGTTAAAATTAAATAAATATTGGTAATTCATTATTGATAATGCAAGTACGACACTACTTCTTGTAATAACACCATGTTAAATACAAAACTATCATGATTTGGATTGTATATAACAAATAACTATTTAACACACTGAATCTTAAAAAAAAAATTGAAATAGAAAAACATTTGAGCCACATTATATATAATATGGCATTAAAAATGTATTTATTTACGCATTTGAAAAAAATATAATAGTGATAACATTCATTACCTATATATATATTGCACAAGAGTAATTAAAATCCAGTTAAACATTGGAAAAATAATACAGCTAGAAAACGCCTTTAAAATATGAGAAAAAAATTGATCTGAAAATTTAATGAAACAATAAAAATTTTATATAAAAAGTGGAGTTATAATACTAGTAGTGTGCAATGGTATAGCTAAGAGTGGCTAAAGGGACTATAGCCCCCCCTCCCCAATTATGACTATTATTTCTGTTAACAGTATATGACTTTGACGTTAGTAAGAGCATGTGATAAGCCAAATACAAAAACAAAAGGTCATTCGCTACCGCTAAGCAAAAATTTCTAGCTACACCACTACTACTAATGTGAATAACATTAGTCAAGTTTTCTTAGATAGAACTTTAGATACAATTATCATATTGTTAAAAATTTATAAATACTCATTTAATTACAAGCATTTTAATACATAAAGTGGGTATGGAACGCTGGTGGAGTATACAAACACCAGTTGAACTGCACCCACTTGCACTACATAATCACTATAGAGTAAAATGCTTATAATTCAATAAATAAAAAATTTTATCGACCTATAAATATTTTTTCTAAAAAAAAAAAATAAAAATTATTATTTGGAAATTTTGGAAAAATTAGAACAATATATTATTATTTTTTTCTTATTAATGATAAATAACTGTTTATCACTAATAAACAATATACAATGCATATTTTTTATTATAATAAAATTATGCTTAAAACGGAGTCTAAAATATCAATAATTTTTAAGGAAAATTTATTGTTAAAAATAAATTTAACAATTAAATTTTATTTGTATTTAAAATTTTAATATAATTTAATGCAAGTAATTGAAACGTACAACAAATATTACATGTAATAAAAAAGTAGTGACGTGTAATATACGAAATTACCTACGTGAATATGACACAACGGCCCCGTTCACAAACGAGAGATCTCTTATGCAGTAATAAGTACTAATACAAGTTTAATATTAGTACTTAGAGATGTCACTGAAAACACTCAGTTTCTTTTTTCAATTATTAATTCTCAATATCAAAATAATTATAATGATGAAACCAGGAGCGTATTTCACCCCCCCCCCCCCCCCCCCCANTAAACATTTTATGACTGATATAAAACTATATAACCATATATGGTTACATATCATATCAAATATATATGACTGATACGATAATAAATCATAATATTATTTTAAGTGATTTAAATGTTAATTATTCAAAAGTAAAACGAAAAATAGTAATTTTTAATTTAAACTTTTTTAAACTTAAATTTTAACCAAACTTTGTTTATCTAGTTAATTGCAATTATGTAAGTAAAAAACTGTTAGTGAATAGCTAAAATGAAATTTGCAAAATAAATATATTTACTAAAACACACCAGCTCTTATAAGAGTGATTAGTTTTTTTTTATTAATCTTAGAAATTTTACAGTATCAGTTTGAACAATTACATTATTGTGTATTACACGTTAATATTATTTAATTGTCTTACTAAAATTTAAAAATATAGTGTGTATTTGTATTATCATTGTTTTTGGTGAGGGACCGTGGAGACTTCAGCTTTCATAACATTTGTAGCCCTTACAGATGAATTAAATTTTCTTGGGATAGATAAAGGCAATATGGTAAAAGAGATTAGCGTTAGGTATATTATCAAAAATTATGAAATTGAACGATGATAGCCCTTACAGACAAAATTTGAAACTACGCCATGTGTATCAAGACCTAAAAATAATTATTTATCATTTTATATATAAATTTAAAAATTTTAGCACAGATGTTTAATTTATTCATTTGAATTATATTAAAAAAATTTCACTTATTTATGTATTACTTCACACAATTAATATTATTCTACAAATAAAACTTCAATAATGCAAATAAAATAATTTGATTTTTGAAAATTTTCAGAGACAGATTCCTAATACTTAAAATTTAATTGACTAATATGTGGATACATATTGTTAAAATGTAAGTGATATTTATTTTAATGAAGAAGAATTTTGAAAAAAAAAAGGCCTTTTATTAAATTACAATTCAATAGATCACAGCCTTGTCCATTATTATTTATTAGTGGTTAAATAAATTTTAGGTTGAAATGGAATAATTCGACTCTTTAATGAGTGAACAGGAAATTCAGTAATGAAAATTTAAACTATTTTTTTTTCATAATGTAAATATAAAGTTTGCATTGAAACCATTTTTACAGTATTTATAAAATATGCTTTAGGTTAAATCTACTCAAGTATTTGTAATTGTTATTAAGTTACTATATATCTTAATATATGTTAATTACATTTTAATATATCTCAAATTTTTGGGAACATATCAAGTGGCTTCAAACAAAAATTAATTACTATATCATATTAAAAAAAAAATGTAATTTCTCTAAAAGCTACTGAAATAATTTACCACCTATGTACTATATACTTTTAAACTATTATTAGTTTGATAAAAAAGGGATGGTGTGGTCGAGTCGGTAATGTGGCAGTGCTTGACGGACACTTCCTCTGGTTTAAAACTCTGTTTCAGGCGGCTTCATTTGTCGAACGAGAAACAGTTCGGTAATTGGAGTCACCATCCCTCTCTGCGGCGACGTACTAACCAACCGTCCCGGAGTATCAATGACCAAGAAAACTTCCCCTTTAGGGAGGTCACTATAAGCCTTAAGGGCCTGGGAAAGCATTAAAAAAAAATTAGTATGATAAAAAAACATTTTTATTTGTCTAAATATATCGTATTCCTACAGTAGAAACATTTAATTATTAAAAACGGAGTAAAGAGTCAACTTGTTTTCATATTTAATTTATATATTAAACATCTGTAAATTACAAAAATTTAAACAGTAAATATCATTGTCAGAGAAGATTTTACGACCAACGAAAAAAACCTTATTTATTTTGTCTAAAATATTTTATTAGTTTTTTTTTTTAAATAATTATTTTTAGCACTTTTATAACTTAATCAAATTATTCATTTTTCTATTAAGCCGGAAATTTTCAATTCAAAACAATTACTTTCATATTTTTTTCCAACATTTTAAAGTAATTAATCTTAAACTACAGTTTTTGATAATTATTAAATTAACTAGTTTTAAATGACCCAGGACAAAAAAAATATTTATGGTTTATAATATTTAGATAAATCCTATAAGGAATGTCGTTATTGATTCCAAATCACAAAAATGTATACAAAATATTTTTAAAAAATCGTTTTTCTTAAAATTTACAAAATTTGGTTTAATTATATCATAAAAGAGTTGTGTGAAATTTGAGACTGCTCCGACAAGTTTAACCTGTTTTTTTTTAATTTTTAAACTTGATTATAACATTAATTTATCAAAAAATTAACCTAAACTTTTCACTAACTTTTTTTTGGTACGAAATTATGCTATACATTTATAACCAATAAATAGACATTTTTATGGGGATTAAAAAAATGTTATTATTTAGTCTTTATACGTAATTGAAATCCAACATAATTTCAGTTAGTAGAAAAAACATGCATAAATCTCGTAAAATTTGTTGTTTTTTGTGAAAATTACTTTTTTATCGCAGTTACATTTAAATTAAGTAAATCTGTGTTTCACGAATTGAAGTATATTTTTGAATATGTAATTATTGCTTAATTATTAATTATCTTAGAAACTAGATATGATGAAGCCAATAAGATCAGTATAATTATAAAATGTTCGTAGTTTTATATACGTTTAAAACATGACAACAACTTTGGGACCAGAAAAATTTGTTGTGGTGGCTGGAGGTAAACGTTGTGTTATAGTTTTTATCGCTAGTAATTTACCGCCCGTACTCTTCACCCCGCTTAGGTTGAGAATAACTTCCGAAAACCAGAAAATTATAATTGACCAATAATTTTCTACTTCAAAGCTAATTAAATATGTATGTTGTCATTAAAAAAAATAAACTTGACAACCATATAAATTAAAAGGGATGATTCGAAAAGTAATTCATAGCCTATAAATCAAGAAATATATGTAACTAAAAAACAGTAAAATTCGTTTTATTTTCAATATTGTATTTACTTTGTGAATAATCGAGTGGTTTATGATAAACTGGACACTTCGTATAAAAATTTAAAAATAAATATAGTAAATAATGTTTCACTGTAAAACACAATAGTTTAGCTTTTTATTTGTTTAGTAAATAAAGTATACAGGACTTAATAAATGATACATCTGAAAATTATATTGGTTACCATTTTTTTTACTAAAAAAATAAGTTAATGCACATACGAGTCGAATACAATTTTTTAAATAAAATATAGACTATATATCTCATACTCTTAGGTAGAAATAGAATACAAATTTTGAAGGGTTTATAATATATTGCAATATAACTCCCTCGCTCTAAATGATGTTTTTAAATAAAATTTTCCAAATAATTTTTTATTTTATGTGGGGTAGAGGTTAGTCCTCCAGCTCCACCCTATTTATTTGCCTGTGCTCCTATATAATGTTTACATTGAAATAGACACAGTGAGAATATTTTTACAGTTTGTGCGATAGTACTACAAATCGAAATTATGCCATTGAGGCAGTCCTTGATCGATTTTGCGTGGTTTTTCTATTTGATGGCCGAATGATGTGATGAAGTAACAACACTAAATAATAAAATTGACGCTATCAATAAATACAATTAACTTTATTAATTATAACTTAATTCTCATTGTATATTAAATATAGTTTACTATAAATATTTCCACAAAAATATAATTTAGAATTGTTATAAATTTGTAATTTTTAAAATGTTAAAAATTATTAGTGAAAATATATTCTCAAATAAGTTAAAATAATTTTTTTTCCTCCAAATTTTATTTCTAGTGTTAAGACCAATAATATTTTTCAAAACATGTTAATATGAACATTTTTTTTTACAGCTTTTGGACAATTAAATGTTTTATTAAAATTTATATATAATATAAACGATTAAAAAAATTATTTTAGAAAGTGACAATTAATGCAGTTCATTAAAAAGACGCAAAACGCCCTTTCTCCAAATGCATCTAGTAAATATTGTAAAACTTAAATATAATTTCACAATGTCGTGATTTAAGTTTTTTAAAGGTCACTAAACTAGAATTGTACTTTTTATTTGATTAAGTTTTATAGAACATTGATCACATTACAGTAGTTTGTAAAGAACAATTAAATTACCATAAAATTACACGTATTTTTTGCACTTAATAATTTGCATGTTATAACCGCCGACAGACGCAATCAAAGCTTAGAAGAGTCAACTATCATAATTGTTGAACATTTCAAATCTTAATTTTTATATAAAAACCTTACAAAATAAATAATCAGCCACAGACTATTCGGTGGTTATTTTAATTTTTTTAAATGATTAAAATTTAAACAAACATACTTGAAATTATGGTAATGTAAACACAATTGGATTAATTAGAATTATACTGCACATAATATGTAACTGAAATATCGGTCAAATACCATTAGATTCTGTCACAAGGTCTAATAGATTTGTAGCAGCAGCCATATAAAATAAAGTTTCATTTTATTATTATTTAATGATCTTATTTCAAATCGTATTTCATTAAGTAAAAATATTAAGTCTTTTGTTATTGAGTTTTAGTTCGGGAAAAAAAGTTGTAACGCATACATTAAACGAATATGACTGCCAGAATAATTGCATGAAATTCGATGACATATTAGAAAATCTAAAAAAAAATCTCATTTTTTTTATAGAAATACTAGAACAACTTTACAAAAAAGACAAACAATTTCTCTCTTAAGTCGTTCAAAACAAATGCACAGTAATGAAATTGCTCGCGAAAAATATGGTAGAGAACAATTTAATATAATTTATTTGACTATCATTTTGTAAATTCTTGTTTACGTGCAAATAATCGGAAAATACATTTTTTTAAATATCTTTAAAAATAAATGTAGGTTATTTAGCAGTTAAGTTTTAAGTTAAAACGATAGACATATGCACTTTTCCATCCTTCAATTTTCTTGTTTTCTAAACGAATACTTTTCACAATTAAAAGTTTTTTAAAAATGTCAACAATTTACAGTTAAAAAAAAAAAACACAATTCAAAGAAATCGAAATTTAAAAATATATAAATAATACATCATTAGAACTTTGTACAATTGTAATCTTGAAAATGCGAAAGAATATGATATTCAACACTCTCAGAATAACTTCCTTACTTCATTATAATCAATGGCTATACTTACAGTTGGGGTTATTAATTTTAGATACGAAAATAATACATTAAAAACAGAATGCGGAATGTATAATTTATAAAATGTCATAAAAATATACCCCAAGTTTCAAAAGTGAAAACAATAGTCGGTAATTTATTTGTGTACAAAGCATTTTAACCCGTCGTAATACATTAGATGTGTATTTTTGATAGTAAAATATACAGTATTATTACATGTTTAACGCTGTCTTAATTTTCAGGTACCCGTAAAAATGTACAATGGCTATTGGAAAAAAATTTATGAGAGCTGTAATACGCACAGATAATGTGTCATATCTACTCGACTTGCCCGAACTCCACACGAAATGCGAGTGCGGGTCACGAAAGGAATACTTTAGTTAATAAATAAACCGTCCTTCGAAAACAATGCATTGGTACATGTGTTATGAGGACCAATTGGACGTATTGCACGTACAGACGTTTGTAAACGTTTTAAAGCAGTGACAATTTTTTGTCAACATGAAATAATTAGGATTACTGTGTATGTAACAACTAACACGCAGCCATTATTCGAGGATTAACGCAGAACTACGTGAGGACCATGTGGTAAAAACTTATGTTTTATGATCTTTGAAAAAAAAAATTGACAAATAAGCCCAACGACGCAGGTTTCCAAAAAACTAACTCGAAATAGCGTCTACACATTCAAGACAACCTCAGCAATAGCTAACCGAGCAACACCACAAACGTTACGGAACTAACACGAAAATGAACACAGTCCGACAGTGGCACACAAGGTGTGGGACCGTTCATGACGATATCCACCGGAGATCACGGCTTACTCAGCTGTGGGCCGGCAGCGAAACTTAGTGGCGGTGGTGGCGGAGGCGTTCGGGGGATTGACGACGGCGGCGACGGCAGCGTTGTTGTTTGCAACGGGCGCGCGCTCAGTGGGCCCCAAACCAGGGGCGGCGGTGATCGCGCGCGCGCTCCTTTACCGCCGCCAACTGCGACGCAATGCAACCAGAACGTACAGACACGTTCAGGGCAGAAAGTACTGAATTTATCCAAACGAAAATTTAATGGATTTTCAGAAACAATTAAAAAATTATTGTTATTCGAATGAAACACCACAGAACCATTTCGCGCGCTATGACGACCACGTGAAAACAAGTTCAAGACGTGAAAGGACGAAAAAATGTTAACTCGATTGTTTCCCTACCAGCTAAAAATAAATATTTAATGAAAAAAAATAACTTACCATCCATTTAGAAATATTGTGATTGTGTCGTTTGGTTGTCCCGGTTGGACAAATACTGTAACTCGTAATGTAACGTGCACGGCGAAAATTCCATTTGCGACGATAACGAGTAACGTGTACTATGAGTACATCACGCAATCACCGTCAAATACGGACTGGAGCGGGAGTGGGCTGATGGAAGCCTGCCGCCCGTGTGCGTTCACCTCTGGCACCGGCCCAGCGGTGGGGGTCGATTGTTGTCGACCGTTACCGAAGTGTTTGCTGCCGTTATATCGATAACCGGACTCTTCGATTATCGTGCCTTCATACATCAGTAGAAATTTCATTTACGGCCCATTATTCCAAATACAAAATGTTTAAAAATGAACGTACGATTCGCACATCATTTCAATTTTTCAAACTGATATTAAACAGGAAAACAAGAACTTGCGGTATCACTGACTTGTTCATAACATTCTACAAAAGTGAAAATTAAGAGACACTGTGGCCTGTATTGGCAGGTATCGATGTAGTCTATCTAATAGTTAACTATCGAGACTTATCGAAAACATTTGTAAATCGACTGTGATCAACTGTTATATACTGTAGTAGTGACGGCGCAATGCCACGCTCGAGTACTGTTAACGGGAGTTTATGTCAAAAGTAGGCAGATTCACGTACACCAGCGAATTGATCGGAATAATATCATGTATTATTTTTTGTTACACAAATTATCGTAAAGTTCATATTCTGCAGTTTTCAAATAGCAATTTTCAATAGGTATCTCGGTCTATAAAGATTACGTGAATCAACATTTGAATGTAACAAAAATATCAAAGGTTTAATTACCCATAAATCTGTTACTTAATGTTACCTAGCACTCATATTTTTATTGCTTTCAATGATTGACTAGCACATACATTTTTGTTACACGTTATAAAATTCAATTCAACATGGAATGATTAAACATGTGAAAATACTGGTTTTGAGGGAAATACGTAATTCGTATTAGGTTTTTGTGACAGGAAAGCTGAATAAGTTTGTGAAAGGATGAAGTCAATCAATGTACGGCGAAAGTGTTGGAACATTATATACCCTTTATTATTACCTCAAATTCAGTAATTTCATTAATGTAATAGTTTGAGTTTATGTTGTATTTAAGATAGTTTAAAGTTTCATCAGGGCACACTTCAATTTTATCTATTAGACAAAAAATATACTTAAGACTATTTGTTCACCGTTATCATTAGATATCAGAAGTGAATCTTTAATTTTTTCAAAGTGGGGGTCTTCTAAAATTAGCACAATAATAATACTACATGTAATAACTTGAATTACATTTTTATAATAATGCAAATAATTTATATTTTTAACATTATTTCGTGTTCAAAAATCCCGTGCGTTGTTTTGATTAGACGTGTTACCGAGAAAATCTCGTCTAACTGACACCTTAGGGTGTCTCATTAGAAATATATCACTAAAACACTCTAATCAGAGGAATACACGAGATTGTGTTCGCATCCCACACTCTCTCTTAAAAATATCTAATTTAAAAGTGTTAAGGATATCAGCATTTAGTACCTATACTCTTAGAGTATTACTCTATGGCATTAGCATAAGTCTTACAGACTGCCGCTTCTAACCAATGTAAGATACAAATAGAAAATGTTAGCATAACTATCGCTTATAGCGTTTAAAATCTTGCGTAAACCACTGGGTAAAAGAATTTTCTAAATAAAATTGTATTTGTTTTTATTATAAAGACGTTTACAGTAATTATAACTATTAAGAAAGTAACGTAATATAAATGTATCTAGTTAAGAAGCCAATTGAAAATGCATAATTAACGATGATGCATAACAACACGTTTCAATGGTATTAAAAAAAAAAAATTATAATAATAATAAATCCGTTGATAACGAATTAAAATTAACAGATCGCATTACCTCTGACCATTACATACAAGTACCATTTCCAAACACTACGATTAATTTTACAGTTGTGCATAATATACATTCTAATTACTTAAAGTTAATTTGAAAATAGAGATGGTCTAAATATTAGTTTGTTTTAATGCACTTTAATACAACTCAGAGACGGCGGCACTTATACACCCAAAAAATTTATTTTTATTTGATTTTATATAGAAATTATTTTTTAAATAAGATGGATCGATTTAGTCCCCTTATTTTTTTTTATTTTTCGTTTATGATTTAATGTTTATAAAAAAATTGTTTATTAACATTTGATATTTGATAATTTTTGATATTTACTTAAAATTCAACCTAAAGTTAGTTGAAAATCTTAATTCATGAATTACAACACGTAGTTATTTATAATAAAAGCTTATAAAAATATAAGTTGAATTTGAAAAAATAATAACTATAATTACTATTTAATATAAAAATATAAGGTTGTAAGTAGTGTGACTGGAAGTAGGGGAAGCAGTTTCTTCCTTTTGAACCCCTTTGGTTAATATGGAAAAAGATTCATTTTGCTCCCATACAATTGAATCCAAAAAAAAAATTATGGCTTAAAAGAATAAATTATTGTGAAACATCATTGTTGTTAAAAAAAAATCGTTTATTATTAATCTCAGATTCTGTGATAATCCAAAGTATTGTTTATTTTATTGTTATTCAATTATCAGTTGTGGTATAGCAAATGTTATTGACTAAAGTAAAATTACAATTAATATTTTGCCAAAGATAAGATTTGTTTTTTTATTTAGCATTTTATTTATGTACTTTTAAACTTTAACGCAGTTAAAGTTATTTTGCTTAAAAAGTTTGAATGCCACATAAATTTAACTAGATAGTTAACAAATTTATATTAATGCATTTTTTTTTATTTATTGTAATAAATAAAAAAATATATTATTATTCCGATATCCTATATTTTACTATATTATCAATATTAATTAATAACATAATAAAAAAATAAAATAATATGGATCGTCAAGGGTATATTTATTAATTATCAGATATTTTTTTATGAAAATCTTAACCCAATATGAAAAGCATTATCCGGTTTTTTTAGTGTAATAATAATCAAATCTATTTTTAATTATTGTCCCCCCACATAAAAAATAGCTCCGACGCCCCTGGCTATAGAGGAATATTGCCACTAAATGAATATAATTAAGTTTTTAACTGTTCATTTAATGGTTATTTTAACTATCTAATTTGAAATATAAGCTATTTATTTGGAAATGGAAAAATTAAAATTGATATCTTTTGACTTTAATTTAATTATAAACAGTATATTAAAAACTGTTTATAGTTTTACAAATTTAATATGAACTAAAATTATTGACAACTATAAATTCAAATTTAATATGTAGAAACATATTTCAATAATATTTTAAAATTATAAATCAAAAATTTATATTGTAGCAAACTTAAATTGTGATCTGTTTCACTTTTGTTATTATATTTTTACTTTATTTTTTTTAATAATAATACATATCATCAAATAGTTAAAATTATTTATGATGCATTAAGTACAATATAAATTTTTGTAATACAATATTATATATGATTTTTATTTGATCATAAGGGTTAATCTATGCCAAATTAGATTATGTATTATATGTCTACATATAAAATTGAATTTATAGTTGTCAATAATTTTAGTTCATATTTAATTTGCGAAACTATAAATAGAGTGTAATATAAATATTGTTAATAATTAAATTAAAGTCAAAACATATCAATTTTAATCTTCCTATTTCCAAATAAAAAGCTTATATTTATAATAAGATGGTTAAAATAATCATTAAAACATTTTTTTTTATGTATGTTGAAATAAAACGTTATAATATAAAATTACACTTGATATGTTTAAATGGCATTTTTAAAATTTATTTTAATTACAACGATTAGTTATAAAAAATTTTAATATTTCAATTTTACTTCATAGTTATAATATAAGAATAGAAACTAATTTTTCAATAATGATTTACAATTCATTTAAAATTTAAATTTTATACATTGTATAACAAATTTGTAGCAATATGATCTCTCTTATTTAAAATAACTATAATTTAGTTATTAACTATGTAAACAAAATTAAACAAAGTGCTATGAGATCACTGCTTACAGTCAAGTGCATTATTTTTCTTTCATACAAAAATATCAATCAAAGGCATACACAACATAGCTGTTTCAAAACCTTTATAATTAAATATCAAACAAAATGCCTTCATTTAAAATAACAACTATTAGTAGAGGTATTGTCAAAAAATTAAATCATAGATTATAACTTAAGAAAGTTGGTTTATGTACACAAAAATAAAATCCTACTTATAAGAATATTTTTAAATGTAAAAAATTCTTGAGTAATATAACAAGCGGCCGCAACAGCTGCCGTTCACTTGCGCTAGAAAACTCGTTCATGGAAACCTGATGTAGTTGATGTTGATGCACCTTGATTAGAAACCGCTGAAGCAGGTCGCATTGCAGATGATTGATGATTATTTAGTCTTCGAGGTGCTAAATACTCAAAATTGCTTTGAGTTTGCTGAGATAACATTTTAGACAAGTCACACGGCATGGGATCTGTCCAAAAAAAGTCATGATTTAAAGCTGAATCAGCATCAAATCGTTTTGCTGGATCTAATACTAGTAATTTATCTAATAAGTCACAGCCCATAGGATCACGCACATATGGTTTTAGTCTTTCTTTTACCTAATAATTAAATAAAATTGAATTAATATATAACTATTAATAAACAATAAAGTTTAACAAATATTTTACACACTTTTCTTTTTTGACCTTTAACCAATTCTAATTGATTATACAAATCTAAAGATTCAACTTTTGGCCACACTTCTGGTGTTATTGATCCACATAGTTGAGATATCAATGTTAACTGTTGCTGCTCTGAATTACCTTGCATTATAGGTGACCGAGTCCACATTTCAGCCATAATACAACCTGCCCCCCATAGGTCTACAGGTGGGCCATAATTTCTATCACCAAGTAATAATTCAGGAGGACGATACCATAATGTAACTACACGATTAGTGTACCTAAAATAAAAAATAATAAATATCAAAAAGATAACAATAGTAAATTTTGAACTAAACAAGAAGCCTATATACATATATTTTTTTCCATCCATTATTAAAATTAAAATATAAATTGTATAAATTAAGTAAATTAATTGTATTATTAAATTATATATTGTGTATTTATATTTGTCATTAAAAATAATATAAGTTATTAAATTAACATAATTGTAAAGGAGTAGATTGACTTCCTAAAATTTATTTATACACAAAGGCGGATTTGAATACATTTAGATGAAGGAAAATACTAATACTTAAGATCAACTTCTAAATACATTGATTCTACTCATACTTATTTTTTAACTTAATATTACCAAGTATATAGTTTATAAGGAAAATTATAACATTTCTGATATTTAACAAAAAAAATATAAAACAAATCATTTAAACTTAAAATATTATAAAAATTATAATTAAAAGTAATTTTTTTGTTAACTAGCAAATATTAAATTTATCAAAATACTAAAAAATACCTTACATAAGATTAATATCTGTAAATAATTTCAATTTATAAAAATATAAAAATTTACCTATTAGGTTGACCATTTTTTTGTGCACTAAATGCCCTAGCTAAACCAAAATCAGCTAGCTTCAAAGTTCCAGTTTTTGTGATTAAGACATTTGCAGCTTTCATATCACGATGTAATATCTGATTTTATAGGGTCAATATTAAAAACGGATAAATGATGTATAATGTCAGTTATACTTTTACCTTATTACTATGGATATAGTAGAGACCATTAAGCATTTGTTGGATTACTTGTTTAATTTCACCTAAACTGAATTTTACTTTAGTGTTAGATAACAAACCAGCAAGATCATGTTCACAAAATTCAAAAACTAGGTAGAATGTTGATCTGTAACGATTGAATTGACTAGCTGAAATTATCAGTACAATAAAAATATTAATATATAAATATGATATACATTTATTTAAAAAGATAAACTAAAATGTTTTTTTAAAAATTTTAGAACTATGTAGTAAATTGAAGTAGGTGATTTTGAGACTAATAAATTATAAGATGAACATTAACAACCAATTAAATTTAAAAAATAATAACTATAAGCACTGTTTAATAAATTAAAAAGAAAAAACTTAATTTAAATTATAACTTAAGGAATTAAAAACCTTAAATATTTTTGGTTCCTTAAGAGTTGTCCTAATCGTCTTAAATAAAGTAAAAAATAAAAAGAATGTATTTCTCTCAGCACAATGAACAGTGAAATAAACACTAATAAATTAGAGCACAAAACTTGTTTCACTATTTATTTTCTAAGACTTGAAGGATTACAATATTTCCCATTTTATAATTAACATCCCGATATTTAAGAAATAAATCATTATTATACTAAAAATATATTGATTTAAAACATGTTTACCTTTAGTTTGACATATTTCTAATAAATTAACTACATTGTCATGTTTTAATAACTGCAATATCCTAATTTCTCGTAAGGCTGTAATTGGAAACTAGAAATATAACAAAATAGTTTATTAGTATTCATAACTCAAAAATATTTAAGATAAATATTAAAATATAATAATTATAATTATTATTACATTATTTTATAAATTATAATTAATTTATAATTTTTTATAAAAATCAGCATATATAATAATTAATTATTAATGGGTTTAAGAATTTGTTGTATTACCGAATTTAACATTAAAAAGTATTTGCTATATTATTTGTGATAAAATAAATAAAAATAACAAATTATAAATATATACAGAAACATTTAAGTATCAATAAAACTTTTAAATATCCCACTATTTGATATTTTTAAAGTAATATAAATAAAAATCAGGAAAATAAAAATCTAGTTTCTGTTACATTAATACTATATTATATAATACAGCAATTATTAAATAAGTATACTATTATATGGTTTTTCAATTTCGTTATTTAGCTCTATTTCTACAGACTTAATTATACGTATGTATTTGCCATTTTATATTATACAAAACATTGAATAAATAAGTGTTGCTAATTTGATTTATTAAGAGATAAATGATGTCTTTCATAAAAAAAAATGTTTATTGTACAATATCTATATTTTTTTTGTTTTCATATGATAATAAAATAAGGAAGACTTATAAGAATTTAGGCAGTAGTTATATTCATTAAATATTTAGTTAATTGTTTGCGATTACTTAGTTTGGTAAAGAAGAATGTGACTGAATAATCAAATCTTTATTTATATAATTTTATTTGAAAACTGTAGAGTAATACCAGATAAAAGAATATGTTTAATTTTTATGTATTTCATATAAAATACATTATTTAATTATTAATTGGATGTAACATATTTTTGATAATTACCCCTTCTTTTTCATTTTCCATAAGAATTTTTTTCATAGCAACAGTTCGCTTCATGTTCTTTTTATCTCTTGCTTTAAACACTTCACTAAAAATGAAGAGATAGCTTATTACTTTAAAGAAAAATTTAAGCTTTTAAATTAATGTATTCCCTTAAATTACTCATATTAACATAAAATAAAAAATATAATCTTTCTAAAATATAAAATACAATTTAAATTGAATTGTAAGAATCTCATGTTATATCATAGAAGAAAGTAACAAAAATTTATTTTGTTTTTATATTGTAGTACAACTGACTTTATAATTAAATGTGCAAGTATATATGTTTAACATTTTAATAACATCGTTCAATTATTTTTCACAAGTTTTTTTAAACAAATATTTTAAATAATTGATATTTGCTATTTCATAAATAAAGAAAATATGTAAATTAACAATTACAATAAAATTATATGCATTTAGAGGATAAATGATAGTTAAATTATTGCAATATATAGAAATATTTATCATACTCGTTTTTTTGATAAAAAATTGTATTTCTATTATACCTTCCAAGATAATACATGAGTCATATAATAAAGTTGCCACCGTGCATATTTTTACTCAGGGTTCAACACAAACAAATTTACCCGAAAGTTCCTTGACCAATTTTTGCCATTTTTTCAAATTTAGTAGCAGCTTCACAAAAAGGAAAATTATATTCTTCTAAGTATTTCTCTCTATCTCGAGCCATACTTAATTGCATGCTAGGTGATGGTATAGGAGGTGATATTGCTCTTTGACAAGGAGTTGGTGGTACCATTTTGGAATCCAGTTTTCAATTTTAGAACAATCAACAAATTAATAAAATAATTATTATTAAATTTAACTTATTTTATAGAATATAATTGAGAATTGTTATTATTTATTAATTATTTTATGTTACAAGATAATCTATAAGCACGGATATGATAAAAACACGAGATAAGGTTATATGCATGCAGTGTGGTAAACTTCCACACTCACAATGAGAACATTAGAATTTTTATTGTATTTTTTTTTTTTGCTAACACGGCGTATATCCGTATAGATTTGATACTTATATAATAGTAAGTACTCTAAATCTACAATTTTATTTATAAACATAATTTGATATAGAAAGCATATTATGTTTAGTCGTATTAAATAACTAACCAGTTAATTTTTTAGTCTAGAAAATGCAATAATTTTAAATATTCCATGGTGATATTTATTTTATTTGTTAAATTACTTAATCTTATAGTATTTATTAAGCATAGAATGCTTTAATCTAGTGTACAGTGGGGAGGATTTTCAACATTTTCTGGTCAGGGTCATAAAGAATAAAATGTATTTACAATACGCATCAGTGCTTACCTTACATATTAAATAATATAGAAATATAATATTAGTGACGGTTTTACGCCATTGATAGTATAGATAGATATTTTACCACCATTACTGTGTTTTCTACTATAGGTTGGATCGGGTTAAGTAATAGTAGTCTTGAGCACATGGCTTTATAAATTTAATAAATGTATTCTATTTTTCATGAACAATATTTTTTGTACATTAAAGGAAAACGGGAGATTTGCGATTTGCTACTTATTATTGTTCAAAATATATTTATTCCAACACTAGAAAAAAACTAAAATATCTTAAAAATATTTTTAATATTAAATAATTTAGTTGGTTTTTTTTTGTTTGAATAATTTTTCTAAAGGTAATAAATCTAATTTTTACTAGCAAAAAAGTTATCGTCTGGTTGGACTTTTGATTATTCATATGCTCAATTATGATCATAATTACTATTTTCTTAAAACGGTAACTATTAATCAGAAGAAGTTTACATCAAAAAACTTATCAGTAATTAACTTTTTATACCAAGTTCAAGTTTATATGAGTTTATAATTATCTACTAATAGTTGATATTTTATTTTTTTAATTGGATAAAAAAAGTAGATATTTTTTCAATTTTCATGAAATGTGGTTAATTGTTTTTAATCAAATTTTTGTTCTCAGTATTACAATCTTGTTATTTATATTATAATAAAAGAATGGCGGTACCAATCGAGTTGTTTTAATTATTTTTTTATTTAAATATTAAATAAAATAACGAAATGGATAATAAATATTATTTATACATACAAATTATCATTGATGTATATTTAATTTCATCTTTAGATAAAAGATCATTAAGATAATAATAAAATAGATTAGCTAAATATTAAATTATTTATACATGCTAGTTTATTTTGCTCCAGATTACTTTTGAAGTTTTCTAATTTTTTATAAGGAGTTTCAAATTTTTTTTTGAGCAAAATCCGCATTAAGACTTTCAGTAATATCATATTTAATTATTCTATAGTAAAATATATTTTTAATCCTTTCATAAATTTTTAAATAATTATAAATAATTTCATTTATAATAATATAATATTGCAGTATACGTGAAAAAAACTAATTTCAAATATTTACTTGTCTTTTTAACGTAACACCTTATTAACTTAGAAGCAATATTGGATTACAATCAAAGAAACTCTTAACAACGAAAATCAACTGCAAATAATGAAATAAAACTTTACTATCTTTTTAAAGTAAATGTACATGGGGTTTTATTTTAAATGAGTATCTACCATTTTCTTTTATAATACAGTTCATGAAAGTTTTTTTTATAACTTCTTCATTTTATCTGCAAAGTGTAACTTAAATAAAACAATAAATAATAGTTTTCAATAATTAACTTTAAGAAATTATCTATAATAGTAGATAATTAATAAATATATATTAATTATATATATATATTAATATAAATGTATTATTTATTCAATTTATTACAATCTTTTATTTAATTACATGATGTAACTTACATTATTAGCGCAACCAGAAAATAATTTCAGGAGTTATTACCTATATCTATATATTTCTTTATTTCTGGACAATTATTTACTTTGTATTATTATTTAGGAATATTCGAAAATTAAGCAAAAAAAATGTATTTATTATTAAAGCCGTGCCGGGACAAAATCACAAGAAGACATAAAAAAGTCAAAAATAAGTGCCTAACGAAAGTTGATATATTTTTTTTTTGTCTTATTCTCTTATTCAACAAATAGTGAGCTCTATAGTGGCCAAAAATATTTCTATGGCCTTATATATTATACAACATAAACACAATTAACCATCATTATTTTTATTTAATTCAACCATTAAATTTTTTTTTTCAAATTATTATTGATTTTGATTTTTAAAGTGTTAACAATAACCCACGTGTAATTTTGATCAAATATAACATGTTATTTAACCTATTTTTCGGTCATAATAAGAAAAATGTACCATAGCTTTTTTGCCCACCTGAAAGTTTGAAATTGACATTATTAAATATGAAATTTTTTGAGGATTTACAAATTTGTATTGTTTCAATTAATATTTAGCCAAGAACGTTTATAAATACTATTAACAATATATTTATGAAAAAAGGTGAACATTTCATTAGAATAATTATATTTTGCATTTATATCGTGATAAATTATTAAAAAAAAAAACATATTAATAATTTCTATAAAACTTTTGGCATTTAAAAATATGGTTAAGTTGAAATATTCAGATATTAATTAAATTTTTAATTATTCAAAAAGAACCCAAAAATATAGGTTAAAATAAAACCCAACATCATATTAAAGGACAAAATGATAACAAAATTATATTACATTAATAAATATATTTATTATGACCATTAGAAAATGCTAATATTTATTTAAATTTAATCATATTTATATTTGATTATTAGGTTATGATGTAGACAAGATTTTTGCTTGAGGTGGCTAAAGGCCTCTTTTTATTTTTGCTAATCACATACTCTTACTGACGCTTAAGTTATATATTATTAATAGTAATAATTGGCAAATGAAGAGGGTATAGTCTCTTTAGTCCCTTTTTGTTACATCACTATTTTTAAGTTGTATAGGAATAATTAATAAATATATTTAAATTAAAAAAATTATGATCAATAATAATTTTAATATTACATAATAATTAAAATTTATTATGTGCAGTATATCAATTTGAATGATTGAAAAGTCTGTTGTGGAATCATTAGTTTGTTTTATAAAAGTAAATGATTATCAAGTCAATTATTTATTCTAAAATTTGTATAAATTGTTAATTTAATAAAAAGAAAAATCTTAAAAAATAAAATGAAATGAATATATCATATATATATATATATATATATTCAGACTATGATTATCAAATGATCCTAGTTTGAAAGTTAACTTAACATTTATTTTTTGATACATGAATAAAATTTTTATTTATATTTATATTTTACAAAATACTAAAATATAAACAGAATAGTTCGAATGGCTATTTATATTCTTTGTTATGCTTCTTTTTCTCTCTTAATTTTTATGTAATTGTTTAATGAAAAATCATCAAACATTATTCATTTTAGTAGACAATATTGCACGATTAATAAAATAATATAACTATCCCATTTTTACAGATTACAATTATAAAATAAATTTATAGCTATAAATTACAGTGATATATTAATAATTGATTTGATTTTGAAGAATTTATAATATTTTGTTCAATAATAATTTTTATTATACAGAGTGATTCGTTCATAATGAACCACTTCATTAATCAAAACATAAAAATAATATTGATAATATTTTTTTTTGGTCTCTTTTATGTATATGTTTTTTTAATTTATCCATAAAGTAGTTTTTATGAATCTTTATATGGTATATGGGATGAACATAAAACCAAAAAAAAGAATACTCAATATGATTTGTATTTTTTGATTAATGAAGTGATAAATGATAAACGAATCACTTAATATATAAAACTATTAATCTTTTTAAAAAAATATGATATATCTTTCTAAAATATAATGATTTTTTCATAAAAATGTACAAATTAAAATTTGATTAATTTTTTTAAATAATTGTAACTATCTAATTTATTGTAAGACAATGTTATTTGTATGGATGAATTTAAGGGGTAATTTCGAAAGTTAAATGGAAACCTATTATAATTTTTTTACTATTATATGAAAAATGGTCTAAAAATAAATTAACTGGGTCGATAACCAGTTTTGGTTTATTTCTTTTTTAGTTAATATAATTTTTGTTATAAGTGAGATGGGTACGCAACATTGAAATATTCTTATCGGGGCGTGTTGGTTAAAAGTAAAGCGTCGCTAAACACTACCTGACACCTCACTATTTCTAAATCTTTAAATGATAATATCTTAAAAAGTAATATCTCAAAACTTGTTATCGATTAGTCAATATTTTATTTTGACTATTCTTCATTTAATAGTAAAAAAAAAAAGTAATGGGTTCTTATTTAACTTTTCAAAGTTGGCTCTAAAATCTATCCTTAAAAATAATTTTTCTCTACAATACACTTAATATTTACCATGGTTTATAAAAATAAATAAAATTTTATTTTTACATTAGTAAAATTGTATTATATTTACATGAAAATCATTATTTAATAAAAAAATAATATGTGTCAGTTAAAATGATACAGTGTATTATTTTAAAAGCATAATTATATTGAAATGTTTAAATGTATATCTACTTAGGAAAAACGAGATATCATTTTAAAAGGGATCACATTTAAATTTTTTTTCAATAACATGTTCTAAAAATGTTGTTCAAATTTTCTATTACAATATTCTTTTTTGTGATATTATGATTTACAAATAAATCATAACAATTTAATGATAAAACTTTTATAGCTCTAACATTTACTAACAGGGCAACTGATACATGAATATCATCAGATTTTTCAATGTCAATTACTGGAAAACTATCAGTAACGCTGTGTTAATCAAAAATTAAAAAATCTGTATTTTAGGGATCCTCACTTTAATAATTTTCTGCTAGTGCGATCATTACTTTCGTTTTTTAGAAATTTTTAAACAAGTTATCTTTTTTCTGAGTTAAGAAATGACATTTAAACTTTTCAAAAAATAATCAAGAAATATTTTATAAATTTTGCTTAGTATTGATAATTATGAATTTGCAATACAACAGTTTACATTTGTTTTTGCTAGAACAGCACTATTTTCACCTAAATTACGTGGCTAATACATATTATGTGATAAAATTGAAAAAACGTGCCAAATCTAAAACACAAAAATATTTATTTTTAATTTTAAAATAACTACTGTTGTAAACTTTGTAAGATGGTAGTATAATTTAAGTTAGATTGTCTCAGTGCTGCTCGTATTTTAAAGTCTCGCGTTTAGTTTTTTCATATTAAATTTTTTGTTTTGAAATCTGTTTATTAACAAAAACAATTTATTTTATCTTAAGTCTCGTAAAACATATAACTTGCTATGATCTTATTGGATTCAATTACCAGATATCTTTAAAAATTCTTGTATTATCTCTATTCATTTTTTTAAAAAGTAATCGTTGAGTTAAAATTTGTTAACAACACTGAACCTTAAAAATAAGTGTTAGTATGTTTTTATGTAAATTTTAAATACTTTAAATTGAAATGATTTTTTCTGTTGACCGCTTGTATTTGTTAAATTATTTATGCATAACCGAAGGGTTGATATAATTATAACAAAATGATAAATGTGTGTAATTTGTCTAGAATTATTAAAATTTTTTTTTTTAATTTTCAAGTGTGTTGTACGTACAATAATATAATAAGTGTGTTGTTATAATATTTTTAATATGTAATATTATACCTCCTTTGAAAATTAAAAAATATTTTTAAATAACCTCATTAGCAATACTCTTCATCAGTGACTTTCATATGAGAGTCAATTTTTAGCTGGACTGTGAAAATAATTAAAATTTTTAAAGGATTCATTTGTGTTTTAAGCCATCAGGCCTTCCTAATGTTGCCAATGAATAAAGTTTTAGATTTATGAGTTTAAGATCGGGATTCCTCGTATCTGTTTGCTGATTAACATTTTACTTTTAAATTCGTCATTTATTATATGTAAAAAAAAAAATTATGAAGGAAATATAGTGAAAATAAATTTTCTTTTATAATAATATCGACGAGACTTTTTACATAGAAATGTTTTGATAAATGTCTAGTTATTTTTTTCAATGAATTAAAATGAACGAAACAGTGGTTGACCCTGAACTAGGGTAAAAGGTCAAAAGCATTATTGGAAATACCATAGGTTGAAGCTGCTTGAAATCATTGAATTTTTTTAAAAGAAAATTGCCATTGAACTAAATTGATTTTTTAGCACTGGCCATCATGTAACTGGTTGGTCATTGACACGGGACGGATTACTGGACAAACAATCGATGATATGATTCCGAGAAGAGGCATCCCGAAGCACACGAGTAGCGATGGTCCGGCAAAAGAGAATTGCCCTCAACTTTTTATCGATTCCGCTGTATTAAACTGAGCTGCGTTTGCGCGAGCCTGTCGCACGTCATAGCACCCGCCAACGCCTCGGTGCCACATACACACAGCCGCGCACCCAAGTGCCGTGTAACAATGTACCTATATCACGCAGTGACAGATGCGCGCCGTTTACCGACGGTTAGTTGTTGTCGTGCCATGTCGTTGTTATTATTGTTGTTGTACAAGTCGCGTCGGTCGCCGACGCGACGCTACGCTAAGGATGCCGCGTTGTTTACCGTTTGTCTGATGTTCACTTTTCTCCAATGCCAGACAACGAATGCGGCCATTCCGTTGGACGGTAAGTGCATACACATATGGTCAATATGGTCTAGCGTAGCCGGTTCACCACTTGTTGTGTTACGCGTGTCCCCGCGAATGGACGGGGCCACCTGTTTGAAATTTGGGGATGAATTTCTAACGTTATTCGTACTTTCTTTTGGAAATTATTAAAAAATATATCTATTGCACTTCGAATGACGTTGACATATGTTTAAGAAATTTTATTATCACTGTAATCGACGTAAAGCACATTTTATTCAATATGGTAACTTTAATATATGATTTAATTGAATTAATATTCAATTATTTAAGTCGCCGTAAATTATTAAGAAAATGCAATTTTCACGGCAATCACTTTTGTTTCGGTTTGTTCAGTTTTATAATGATATCATTATTTCTGAGACATCTATCAAGAAAAGTTTTAAAGCTGTCGGTGTACGGCCATACGGTTTTATGAACGAAAAAACTCCCGCTAAAAAGTATCGTTGAGAAATACGAATATTTAAGTAGCTGATTTAGAAAGGGATAAAAATGTTCTAACTTAATAGCCTCCGCAGGGTTAATAGTTAACGATTTTGGAAGTTTTTGTTTATTTATATCCTGAAATTAGTTATAATCTATAGATATAATTGTTTTACATAAATTTTACTATTTATATTGCTTGGATTTCGAATAATTTACTTGAAAATTTATTTTGGTATATTATAAAGTCACCGATTGAATAAAATAAAATTGTTCAAGTCTAATTTAACAACAAACTGCTATTAGTAATAAAAATCGACAAATGAACAATTAGATTTAATATGGTTACGGCTTAAAAGTAAAAAAAAATTAAAAATTGAATTACAATGGAAGAACTAAGATAACACAAGACTCGTGAATTATTTATCAGTATAATAGAAATATTAATATGAACTTTACAGCTGACATTATGTTAATTTCAATATAGTCACTGAAATTGTCAACTTTTTCGAAAGAGGATACCTAGTCTCTCCGTTCTAGCTATTATTATTTCGTTTTAATATAGAAAAATATTTTTTTATATAGTTAAATTTCAATAGAACATTCTTATTAATTAACGTACTAAGTTTCATAACTTATAAAAAGTACAAATTAGCTAACACAATTTAATTTAATTAAAGCTTTTAGAATAATGTTTTAAAAATTAAATCATAATTTGTGGCATTTTAATTTTTTAAAATATCGAATTGACTAAATCTTTAAGATTTGTTTATGTGTCCTTAAAATTTTCATCAAGCCAATTGTGACAAAGTTATTTTGTTTCTACAACTTTCGCCTTAACTTGACATTCAATTAAAAATATCTCATGTTACGATACAAGGTTAATAGCAAAATAATCGAATTATTAAAACCATGAATGACTCTAAATATATTTTTATTTATGTATGATTTTAAATTTATTTAATCTTTGTTTATTTATTTGTTTACTTAAAAACCTCAATAAGAGCTATTTCTTGTGTCTTGAGGACGGGGAAATTTACTTAGCACCGAGGCACAACGCGTTATCGACTGAACTAGGTGGACCGACTACCTTATTCAAGAACATGTACTATGTAAATTTATATTTGTATTTAAAGACTTATTGCTGGGAAATATACATTTTAGTAACTACTTATTTGGTTTTTTTTATAACATCATTTACTTTGCTATTTTGTGAAGGTTATCTTTGTTGCAAAAACACATCTACACAATGAGCAACTTAATGGTAGTAGGTGTGAAACGTCTTTTAAAAACTTTTAAATTTTGTTTTTCAATCATTTTTTTTTAGTCAGTAGGTAAAAGGGTATTAGAAAGGAAGTAAATCTTTTTAAACTGAAATCTTAAAACTGGCATTTCTACTCACAATATTTTTCATATGAAGGTATAATTTTGTTAAACTTAATTGTCTCTAAAGAGAAGTGAATTTAATTTTAATTTAAAACTGCGAAACAATTACGTTGAGTATCATGAGTCATGTTTATTGTTTTCGGAGCATATATTTTGAACGATTATTCACAAAAAAAGCAATTTTTTCATTTATTAGAAATAATCAATAAATTTCAAGTTCAATTTATGATTTAACACAGAAAAACATGTCTACAAGAATATAAATTAAAACTTGAAAAATATGTTGTTATTCTACTCATTCGATTAATGTAGTTTGTATTGTTTTGTTATAAAAAAAGACATAATATAATAAATTAATTGAGATAAAATGAGCTACTAACTATAGCTCATTCAATATCATCAAAAATATAGGAAAATATATAATTTATTCTTTACAGAAGTTTTTAGTATACTAAAAATTTCAATAAACAAGAAAAAAAAACTCTTCTCCTCTCTTTTCCTCTTAAAATGTATCAATTTTCGTTTTTTAAGTGGTAACATAGATGTTAAATGACTTAAAAATAAGAAAATGAATGATCGATTACAACTTTTGAAACATTATTTTTAAAGATATAAGTATTTTTACATCGTGGTAGGGAAGGAAGACAGTTCAGAAATATTCAGAGATGAAAGTATCGTCTTCATCCTGTATTTCAGAGTGTTAGCTTTAACTATAATTTCCGAAGTATTGGTTTAAAAGTTGTTATTCACCAGCCATTTTCTTAGTGAGATCATTTCTTATTTATTGGCTAGTTAAACATATATGTTTCCATTTAAAAAACTCAAGTTGATACAATCTTAAAGGGGAGAACCATTTTTCTTTAAATAACAATTTAATGATGAATCACAATAAAAATGTTTTGTATTGGTATAATTTGAAGTAAATAATTTCATATTGAACATGAAGTACAAGTACAAGATTTAACTGACTATATTATTTTACATAATCTAGAAAAGATAAATATTGACTCATTAAAACAACACAGATCTGTATTATTTTTCTAATTTATATTTTCCCCAACATCAACACCAAAAATTATTCATTTGAGGTCATTTAGTGCATTGTTTTTATTTTTTTTGGTTTAAGTTCTTGTCAAACATGAGAAAACGACAAACAAAGGTTGTCTCACATAATAATGAAATTTTTACCAACTCTGCAAATATCAAATTTAAAGTCTTATGAATTATGTGAGATTTTCTTTTTTCTTTTTTTTTTTTAATAAAATAACCTAATATTTATATCAATAATGCATGTTCGATTCTGTAAGGCTAATACCAATAATTAATATATTAAGTACATATAATTGCTAATGTTGTTTTAAATATGCCATTCATTACATCAATTCAATAGCAAAAATTTTTAATTTCCTTTATATGTGTTTTATTGAATAGTATTTAAAGTTTATTGAATTCAACTGTAAAAAATTAATTAAATATTTTTTAAAAACACTATCTTAAATAAAAACAGTAAATTATCATCTAGAAAATAACAGTATAAATTGCCTGGTATATTATTTATCGAGTAAGGAAATATAACTTTGTATTGTTCTATTAAGCTGCAATTTAAATAAAATTCTCGTTGCTAATATTTTTAAGAAACTGACCACAACAACAGGTCATAATAGTTTTTACTTTTACATATATACTACTTCATTGTATCCATATTTATTAGGACATGTACTATTATCTACTAATTCTCATTTACAGATTTAAAAGATTATTAATTCACTTAAGCATTTCTAAATAATAATATCATACAATTGTAAGTTCAACACAATAAAGCGTGTTTTATATGAAAAATTATTATCCTAATTTTGAACATTTAAGGGTTGCTTTGAGAATTACTGAGAGTCTGTAGTAATATGGAAAATCAATATAACCGACCTTGAAATTCATCGGTGAAATACGCAGAGATAGAAATTCTTGAAGAAATATTTCATAAATGAACAAACAACTATTGAACTTTTTAGACTTTCAAATAATATTTATTTTTTCTCTCCGTGGTAGCTTTCATTAGATTACCTTTTTATTCTACCACTTAATCATTATTTAACTTGGGAATTGTGCGAAAAATAAATAAACTTAAATTTATACATAGTTCAATTTATTCTTGTTCAAATTCAATGACTAATACCAACCTTCAATTTTGTGTGATTTATCGTTAAAATTGCAACAATTGTTTGATTTATTTGTCTTTGTTAAATTAATAAAAAAAAAATCTATCGTAAACAAACTCTAATTAATAAATATTCTAATCGTTTAGAATTTTTAAAAAATTCATTAACCCGAGTATTAAAATTAATAAAAATCTAACATTAGGTAGTTTAAAAATTGTTTATCATTCAAAAGATGTTTTGGTAAATAATAAATTGTGGCAGTAGGGAACACTTTAATAATATAATAATGAGCGCGTAGTAAAAGCGAATACATTCATGTACACAATACTAAAACACGTCATTCGCATTGTAAAAATAAAGACAATATACTTATCAGTTGAAAAACAAAGTTTAGTTCATTTTTCGGGTGCAAATAATATGCTATAAAAACACTGGGGAGTAAAATTTACCAAACACATAATTGATAGTTCAAAAATAAAAAAACACTAGTGTTTTTAGTGCCCAATGACGGACAATTTACATCGATAATTTTTTTTCATATTCGGTACTGCGTTACTATTTATAATTATACGTCATTGTTAAATTATTAACTAATTGCCAGTTGTACTCGTACAAATATTAGATAATTATCCAATGGAATTATGCAGTTCGTCAAAAATTAATATCACACTTGAAATTAATAAACGTTTAATTAACGGTAGGTGTATGAGGGTAATGTAATTTTGCTAGGGGAATCGTAGTGGTATTTGTAGTCAGACACACATAAAACAATAGTTGAGCATCCGTCTTTTTATGTTAATGTAAATTAAAAACGACAGGTGCGTTTATTTTGAAATAGTAACAAATCCTTATTAAATTTAGGGAAATATAAATATCCTTCGTAAAATTTTTATTGATCATCTTTAAAAAAGCTTTAATTTTAACTAATATTGGAATATAAAGCAAAATTAAAAAAAAAAAAATCAAAACAATGTTTTTAAGTTATACAATACTTAATATCTTGTTAATTTGTTTATTTAGCGTTTCTTTCCGTATTCATCATTACGCAAGGTACCTAGTAATGTTAAAGTATTTATTTAGAAAATAATACGTTAAATTTGAATAATGTCATGTTATGATTAATACGAAAACGAATACAGTTTTATTGTCATCCAGATTTACTAAGTATTGACAAAAATATTTAAACGTAAAAGCTTACTTTATAGTTTATCAACGTTTGTCCTAAATAATATTTTAAATTTTAAACACAACTATCTTTATAAATGTAACCATAGCTAGGGACTCAATGTTTATTAAATTGAAAATCTATAAAAGGTAACATATAAAAATCGAACAATTATTTTATAATTTATGTGATAATCAATATGTAGACCATGCTAAGATACCTCGAGTGTAGTATTATCAGAATAAATATGTAAACAAATTTCTTAATAAATTATTATTTTTGTTATTGTCTTTGTTCAGCTAGGTAATCGCGTTTAGCGTTTGCAAAATGTGCTTACAGCTCGTTTTTCGCGTGTAAGCATAAAAAGTTCGAGTTGGGTAATGGTGTAAAACGCATTAATTTACATGGTATCGGGTTTTAAAGACATGCGAATTATAAATCGTCATTAAATCGTCATTAAATCGCACATACACGCAGATATACTTGTCTATTGAGGTTTATCTACAGAATAACAGCTGAATACATAATGTTGTACAAACCAAACCAATATCGCCGAATAATCATTGCAAAAACGTTAAAACATCGTCAGTCCTCAAAAAAATGTATATAGTTAAATTTAATAAGTTTTTATCAACTGAGATAACAGGGTCATCCGCGTATGTCCAACATATGTTGGTCACTAGACTAGGTGTATAATATGTAGCTAGACGATTTATACAAATGAGACGGTAAAGTGGGGCTCTATCTATTCTAGAGTATCCGGTCGGTTGTGATATAATTAAAATGCAGTCCTTGGTTATGGATAATAAAAAACATTTTTAAGAAAAATCTGATTTTATTTCACAGAGGAAAAATCAAAAGAATATATAATCAGCCAATTGGCCGACATAATTGAAGACCAACGTAATAGAATACTGGAAGACCAAAATCGACATAATTATCCGCAAGTTGATGAAAATCGAAATATCCCCAGAATAAGAGTGACCGATAAAGAACCGGAGTTCACGTATGACTCGGGCGCTTTGGTCGAGCCTGAAGTGAATACAGGCGACAAAGAAGTGCCGTTTGCCGTTATGCCCTATAACCCGCGTTATTATAAACCAGGTATTCAAATATATTTTACTTATATTTATATTGGTCAAATGCCCGTATCATAATTCACAAAAAGTTATGGCACTTATGTCAACTGTTTTATGATGAATGAACTGCTATTATAAATTATAGTGGTGTGGTTAGGTTAAATATAAATTAATTAAAAAAATATCAATGATATATTCTCATCAAACGTTAATTTATTTTATTTAAAAACATTCAATACGTAAGTATTATTATAGCTAATCAGTTATGTCCTGGAACTTAACTTAAAACTAAAACTTGCGTTACCACAAAATAAAATGTAATATCCAATTGAACTAATACTAACTACAACAGACAGAGAAGACTATTGAAAAAGGAAACTATTGTAATCATATACAATATGAAATATATAATCGAGTGGCTAGATTTCTCTTAAAATAATAATTATGTTAAGACTATTTTTGATATTTTTAGTGTCAAATACTTCTTGATTTATCCGTTAATAATTGCTTTTTCAATTCATCCATAATACCTTAAAAAGGGTTCAACTTTAATTTTTGCAATGGTGACAATTATTTTTAACTAGTTTAAAAAATTTTAAATGATCTATTTTAGAATATGACTGGTCAATAACCACTTTTCGAACAGTACTTTGAAATATTCTGATACCTAGGCAAGAGATGAGATGCGTCCGACAAATGTCTAGTGATAAATATTGTCATACTCGCGCCTTACCTCCGGTCTGCAGGATGATTATTCAATTACGCTTCAAGAGATATCTTTAAAAATATTAGAGCTAATCACTATTCTATTTTTTTAACAATAATGGTTTTTTGTTGAGCTGCTTTACATGAAAAAATAATTTTCTGCTACCATCCTTTATACTCTAAGCTCATTTCAATTTTAGATTTTCAAAGGAAATCCCAATTTTTTTATATCATCAGATTTATTCAATTGAAAAAAAAATGTTCGGTTTTTATAATATTTGATTTTCAATGAGATTTAGTTGATTAAATTTAGGGACGATCATGAAAAAAGTGCAATTATTTAAAAAACGAAATCTTAAGTTTGTCGTATATAGATAAGGTTTAAAATTTAATAGGATGTACAGTTTTTCATATTTCTATGAATCGATAGCGATTATTGATATATACAATGATAATGTTGCCGTCTTAAAGAAATAGGTCCACAATTTTTCTGATCGTTCCGAAACTTTGAACATGTTTAATTCGTTGAAAATCTTATAATATCAAACATATTTTTTTGCATTTGAATAAACCAGATGATATGAAAACAATTGGGGTTGCCATTTGAAAATCTAAAGTTGATATAAGTTTAAGGGTATAAGCTATGTAGCAGAAAATTAATTTTTCGCGTAAACAAATTCAACAAAAAACCATTATTGTTAAAAAATTAAAAAAATGATTAGCTCTAATATTTTTGAAGATATTCCACGAGGCGTAGTAAGGTATCACACTGTATATTTTTAAATGGTAATAACATCCGAATAATTTGTCAAAAGTTATAATCGATCAGTGATATTCTAAATTAGATCATTTACAATTTTATAGGCTAGTTAAAAATAAATGTCACCACTGCAAAAACTAAAGTTGAACCCTTATAAGGTATAATGGATGAATTGAAAAAGCAATTATTAACGGATAAATCAAGAAGTATTTGACATTAAAAAATGTCAAAAATAATTTTCTTAACAAAATTTTTATTTTAATGTAAAGCGAGTAGCTATAGTTAAAAGTCACCAAGGCAATGCGACTTAATATTTTAACTATTATAATTTATATATTCAATTAATAACAAACAATTATGTTTACTTAAACAAAAATGAATTTATGATAATCCGATTATTCAATAAGAAAACCAATAGAATGGATGAGAGTAATTAGTTTCATTATTATATCACTAGAATTTGTATTGTGGACACTAAAATAATTAATAGGGTTTATATTAAGGAATGGTAAATAATTGAATAAAATAGATCTATTATATTCTAAATCTAAGAAATGTAGTAGTAAACGAGAAAAGTTGCAAATACTTTAAGTTATTTGCAAGATAATGATAAATTCATCATTATGTTTAGGTTAGAAAGGAGAGTGATTGAGAGACATATTGTAGTTATGAAAAGATAAACGATTATGATCACGTTTGAGACGGGAAAAGTAGATTATATAAAGATAATTGAAGATAGTTGAAGATTGTAAAACCAAGGATTCTTAGCTATGATTGGTGAAATTTATTTATGTCAAGTTGAAACAAAAGATTACGAAGAAGACTTCTTATCTTGTCATACAATATTAATAATAATAGCGAAGAGAAGGGAGATAATCAGATGAGGAAATTTTGATGGATGGAGGACGGATCATAAGATTATACAACTGAATTTTAATCGTGCTAGTTGAATTTTATTTTTATCATATAATTTAATAAAATAAATTATTTAAAAAATTGATTGGTTATACATATTTTATTTTAACAAGTAAAAAATAATATTTCTATATAATTATTACTATTTATTTATTTTATAAATATAAGTATAGGAATAATATCTTCTTAGTGATAATATCTACAATGAAGTCTAATTATACGTAAGCCATAGAAAACTGATAAAATAATAAGATTTATATTAGAAAATTTAATGATCGAAATTAACGTTTGTGATATTAACATATTGTGATTTACCATCAGAAGTAATAAAAATAAAAATAAAATGGATATTGCTACATTATAATTTTAAGTAAAATTTACAAATGCCTGTAGTATTTTAACATTGAAAATGGTTATTTCTAGTTTTGACACCAGGCCACCATCAGGTTACATTTAAAAGTCACTAAAAATAAATAAGTTTAAAACGAATAAATATTTATTAAATAGGTATTTTTTCTTAATTCTTTGAAAAATAAAAAAAGTTTAAAAAAAATCATAGTTTAATTTGATGAACCTCATTAGTTTTAAAATTTTTGGAACAATAACAAAATAATATTCTTTAATAGTTTTGATATTTTATTTTTTTGAATTAAGTTTAACTCAAATAGAATATATATATATATATAACAAGCAGTATTTAATTGTTTACCGCCCCTGAAAACTGTGTTCAAATATTTTTTTAGGAAATTAACCAGAAAAAAGGACTTGGACGCCATTCCTAGCATGTGCCATTTTATAAAATAATATAAGAATTAGTTTTAATGACCGATAATTATTTTCTTTATTTAATTTCAATTTGTTTTATGCAGAATATTACAATCGTTTGGCTGTACTTTCGCCAAATGATAAGTACTATGAAAACGCTGGTAAAATTCATTCAGTCCACACATCAAAAAGCAAAGAAGTTCATGATTTTATAGCTGAAACTGAAGAATACAAGTCAAAATATACAACAGAAAATACAAGTAGTGTTCAAACAACGTTGGATATCACACATTCAGCTTTATCTTATACGCCATTTATTACATCTATTTATTCAAAATTTAGTCAAAACGATTATTATTTCTTTGGTATGTGTATGCACGTTTATAAGTGAAAAGCATGTCTAAAAATATGTTTAACATATTTTTTAAACTATGAAAGATTTATTAATATTTGAAAAATGACTGTAGATAGGCAAGTATAGTCTTAAGTAATCTAAGTTAAAACTAAACACGGTACTTAAATTATAATAATATAACTAAGGGGATGCAGTGGCGTTTTTGCGAAAAACAGTTTCTATTTTTATTTTAGGATTTAAAGTGTTTTATGAATGTACCCCTTCAATACAAATAGTACATAAATATTATTTTTCTAATATTATTATTGATCATTGTTAATAATCGTTATCGCGGCATCTTCTCAATACCCGGCCAGATGGCGGACCGCTTTTCGGTCGAAGGTCCACAGCGGTCCAGTCTATATAAAAAATTATACATTCGTTTTAATAAGAAAATCTGAATAACACATCTAAAGTTCTAAAATAAAACAAAAATACATTCTTATTCAAAATCCACAAAAAAATATAAATATTTTGCAGAGTAAATCAATACTTCATAACTAAAATATATTTCAAGACCGTAATTTTTTTTTTCTTCATAATTTATTTATTCTACATGAATCGGTTTAACGTATTTGAATTAGATTGTACTCTGAACTGAAATTTAAAAAATAAATTAAATAATGATGCCAGCATGTTTTGTAAATCTCGGTGTTACTAATTTTTTTCATTATTAATCGTTGATAATAAAGTATTATGTTCGATAAAAATATACGAAAAAAAAAAATCAGTTCTTATTGACCTCTAAGCTTTTATTAAAAGGAATGGTCTAAAGAACTTAGGTTTTGCCCATATAGACACACCTATTACTTAATAAAGTTATTTTTTCTCTAATTTATTTAATATTTAACAAGTAGTGAAAAAATTGTTTTATTTCTAATAATTTATTTATTTTGTTTAATGTCCTAAAAAAATCAAAAATAATCTGTATAAAATAAAATAGTAAATTGACTTTTATGATATAATTTTTACACTATTTAAGATTGTTAATAATGAAAAATATGCTGGGTTCAAAACATTAGGTACTTAATCATAATATTTAGAGTACAATCTGTTATGTAAGCTCTGAGGAAATGGTAGTTAGATTTTCATTTATTGGATATTGAAGCTTTTATTAGAAAGAATCAATAAATTAATTTTAAGATTAATCTACATAATAAACCATATTTATATTATTCTATGACATAATGCTTTAGGAATAATAGAATTTTCTCTTATTAGATTAACACATTAAAAGCTTTTACTGTAAAATAGTAATAGAAAGTTAAAACATTTTACACGATAATGGAAACCACGTAGAGAGTAAATCCTTTTATATCCACAGGCATCCTTTTAAAAACTAATGGAATCATTTTTCATTATATAGAATTTTTTTATCATTATATTTAGTTTGCAACATATTTAAATATTTATAATAACTAGGCCATTACAAATGAAATTTAAATTATTTTATCTAGATTAATGTATTATATATTATCAAAAGAATTGATGCATTTTTTATTAAGTTAAAAGCGGGAGTGCTATCATGTCATGTTAAACAATTTGTGATTAATTAATTTTTTAGAAACAATAGTTACAAGAATTATTTACTGAACTATTTAGTTTTTAATATACTAATGAATTTTTGTGCAATTATGATAGCTAATATTGAACAAAAAATAAAATAAAATAATAAATATTAATTTTACGGTACATGGATGTTAATTGAATAAATTATTAGAAAATATAACTTGTTATTTAAACGCTTTTCAACTAACACGGTAAAAAGTGTTAACGGTGCAGTTATTTAAGTGAACTCTTAAATCCTCTATAGATTAATCCTATAGTTATTCTCACAAAGAGCAAAATATTATCATTAAATTACTTTTCTTAATAAAAAAAAATCTATATTAGAAATAATATATATTTTATCTGAAATTTATGTTTTTTGTATATTTAGCAAAAGCTGCTGGAGTTGGTTTAGCTGTTTTGGTAGTTATGGTCATGTCATTAATTGCCTGCTACAAGTAATTTATTTAAAATATAATAGTTTTTTATTGTATTATTTGTATACAATTTTGTTGGATAGGATGCAAAAAAATAAAAAATTGGCTGCGGATATAGATTATCCAGCGTACGGTATTACAGGGCCCAATAAAGACTTTTCTCCTACGGGCGATCGTCGGTTAGCACAGTCTGCCCAAATGTATCATTATCAACACCAAAAACAACAGATTATAGCAATGGAATCGTAAGTACACAAATTGCCCTATTTGTAATTCTTAACTGTATTAGGTGACAAATGTTTAAAATTGACATAAATAGAATAATTCTTAGATTGAATTTTTTTTATATTAAATTCAAAAAATCAGGTATTTTTTTTGGTTAACTCAGACAGCTTAAATTGTATTTAATTGTATTGACTTATATTAAGTTAACTTATCTTTCAGTATAAATATGATGTTTTTCGAATTAATCATTAAAGTTTTTTTTCTTTTCATTTATCTATTTATTCCTACATGGTATTATAAATTTATTTTAGTAATGATGCTCGTGTCTAATATTTATCCTTTAGAATTTAACAAATCATTATGAATGATAACTTATTAAAAACTTTTATTTTGTTTAAACATATTCATTTTAAATAAATTAACTTATAAATTTTTTTATTATTTTGAAATTTGAAATAGAAATTTTCACTTTGTGGAGACATGGTGTATGCTATGCACTTATGGGTATGTCACAATTTAAATAATTTTGCATTTTAAGATAAAAACTTTATAAAAATATAGTTTTATATTTGAAAGCTTGTGACTAGTACCTTAATACTTTTAACTTATTAGGTAAATAAAAAATAAAAAAATATCGTTTTCTAGAATATAATCTTTAACTTAAATTATACAATGAAAAAAGCATTGTTAAAAATAAAACTATTTAATTATATTATAAAATTACTTTTAACTTACTTTGTCAGTAAAAAAAACAAACATTCTTATTCATTTAAACAATATTGTTTAATTTTGTGTAATGATTTTAAGTAAAATGTTATGAATACTTATAAATAATAATTTTTATTTTTAGAAACAATGCTGTAAAAGACGCCCGGAGTGGTTCTATCACAGACCCTGATAGTGATGATGATAACGAGGAAGGCGACTATACGGTTTATGAGTGTCCTGGATTAGCACCTGTAATAAGCATCATAATTTTAGTTAAAAACAATTTTTCTTTCAAAATAAACATTGAATTTTTTTTACACAGGCGGGGGAAATGGAAGTTAAAAATCCACTGTTTCACGATGACAACACACCTGTCTCGTCTACAAATAACAGCAAGGAAGACGTACGAGAAAACGGTGCTGTAACAACAGTTCCGGTCCCTTAATTGTGGTTTGAGAATATAGTTAGCAAGTTTAACGAATCAGATTTCATTTGTATCGAGGGTTAATGTATTATTCCCTTTAGAAAAATAAGTTTTGTTTTTTAGTTTTGTTATTTTTACCAATATTTATAAAATGTATAAAATAAAATGTACCAGAAATAATATATATTTGGCGGCGTGTTAAATAATCGAATAGGGACCACAAGAATGTTAACTTGAATGCATAAAAAATATGCATATTGACTGAGTATATTGCTAAGAGTGTTATGACATTCGAAAAACATTAATATTCTATGCTTTTCCTCATTAACTCATTATTATTTATAAGAACTTTTAGTATTATTATATATAATTACATACTACGGCCTGTTTATAATAAAAACGATCATTTTTTTTATAAAAAAAAAAAACAGTAAATAGACTAATTTGTTGGTTACAGTATTTTTCTTGATATAGATTCATTATTTTATTATTGCACTTATAAAAGAGGTAATAAATAAAAGGCTATAATATGTTAGAGTTACCCTAATTTAATCAAAGTAGGTAATTTAAAAATATTTTTTTCTCAAAAAATTATAAAATGGAGTTTTTTTTAGTTAAGATATAAATATTTTTGGGATTTGAAAATATTAAATCTCACATATATTTGATTTGGTGCAGCTAGAATTTAATCTGTTGGAAAGCAAGCTACTAACTTCAAATAATATTTCCATTTCCTTCCAATAAAATAATCTCGACAAAAAATTACTGACATTTGTATCAGTAGAGCAAGTGCTTTTTGATTATTTTATAAAAAAGAATTGTCTAGTAATTTGATCATTGATCAATTCTAGTTGAAAGATTATATTCTTATTATGATTTTTTTTTAATATTGAATTATCATAAATTTAAAATTTCTAATTGCACCTGTGTAAAATATAGTTTTTTAAAATTTAATATTAAGATTATGTGAATCTCTAAGTAATTATATCAGTACAAGAAATATTTTAAATAATTAAATAAAATGGTTAAATAATTTGAATTTTTACGATAATGTTATAATAATTAAAGATTAGGCAACATTTTTAAGTTATATATTGTTATTTTTACTTTCGACTGTAAAAATATTCCATATTTTTGAGAACTTTTTTTACTTTCCATGTGGTGTTTATTTTATTTTTTAATTATTCATTATTAACTTATTGAAAATCATTTTATACTTAAACATAATCAAATAAATAGAAATATTAAGTTTGAGTATGTATTTCGATAATTTTACAGAAACACCAATTGGACTTTATAACCATCCAAGTAATAAAGGAATGAATTATTTTCATGACAATTCTTGAAAACATATTTCTATAAGTATAAATAATCAAATGTTTATTGATATTATGATTTATTATTGTTTAAGAAAGACTTGTATTATTAACACAATTGATTATTACTTATTTCTAGAGTATCAATTCATAAGTTTTGTTTAAAGTCTTCCAAAGTTAAACAATTTAAAAGTATTATTTGTCGTTTAAAAATAAATTAATCAAAGGATGTAATTAAGCTTACGTTAGGCACTATTGAATACTAAATTAATATATGCACTCTGAAGAATATTAAGGCTTTATTACAAAACAGTATTGTATTGAATAAATAAATAAATGTATTGATTGTCAATACATTTATTTTGATTGATTAAAATTTTGATGAGTCGATTAAAAATTTAATAGTGTTGACTAAATTATTGAACTTTTTGTGAAAGATAAAAAAAAATCTTCTAAATTTTTTTATATCTCTACAATTAAACAATTTGAATAACTATTATAAAAATAAAATAAATTTCACGAGAATGTTCGATTAAAACGTTCATGATATAAAAAAAATTTTTATTGTTTTTTTTTGTGTATTTATTTAAAAATTTATATAACTTGATAATAAATACATAAATAGATCATTGTATAATTATAGTTGATATTAAATTAAAATGTTAGTCAAGCACTTTCCGTATTCAAAAATTTGTTGAAAAATACTATTGAAAAAATAAGGTTATTTTTTTTATAAATTTTTTGTAATAAAAAATTTATGAAAGTATTGAGTGAGTTGGTTAGTTATAAGAAAAATAATAAATGTAAAAAATTGTATGGTCTACTTTTTAGACTTAATGTACTTGTCAATTCCAATATTTTGAAAACATTAATCAATTAACACATATATGTGTACAATTTAACTATAAGTCAATTTAATTTATTGATAAATTACAAATTATTATTATTTCAGGTATCATATTGTGTTTAAATTTATGTGTATAATTATTATATAATATACGTGTTATTTTAACTAAAAAAAAAAAAAAACATAAAAAATAAATATATATACATATATATTTATCAATTTAAAATACGTGTATTTATTGCACTGTCGGCGTTAAATATTGCAGAACCCAATACAAAATTGTTTTTTCGGAGTCTTTTTAATATTTTTTTAGTAAAATAGATTTTTCCTTGCTTTTTGTTTTTTCGTAAGAGGCTTTTTAAAGAGCAAGTACGTTGGTAGCTTTGCCCATCTGCCGGCCCTAATTAATGACTATACATTTAATATTATATTGTAACTTTTTGGATTTGAGTTTTAATTCAATCATTTTTTAAAAAGTTACATTAATTTTTAGTAAATTATTTTTTAAAATATCAAAATTTGTCCATTAAAAAATAGTATTTTTTGGGGGGACTTCCTTAAATTTACGAATAATGAAGACAATTTTTTTTTAATTTTGAAGAAGTATCAATTTAAGTATTAATTTTCACATTATTATTTATTTTTAAACATCCAAGTGGTAGCTTTGAAAGAAATATCCTCTTGTCAAAAAATATCTAAAAAATGAATAAATTTTCATTGTTATATTATAATATTTTAAAAACATTTTAATAAACTATTTATTAATAATAACCAATTATAATTGTAGTTATTTATGACATATATAAATATCCTTAAATAGTGATATAAAATGATCGTAAAAATCAATTATTGGGATTTTTCGAGTATATTATTTTAGCTTGTTATTATAACATTTTGTAATGTTATTAAATGGTTCAGCATTGGTCAATAAGTAAATTAATGATCACATTCAAAATTTAGCTTCAGAAAATTCGATCACAAGGAATTAGAGGTATAGTTATTTCAAACAACAATAAACCAGTTATTCAACTTTGTTTTTGAGTTTACAAATGCTTTAGAGTTATATTTATTTTTTAAATTTGGTATAATTTATGGTAATTATACAGAATTTTTGTTTACTGGAAATTTTTCTATTGCATCTACACCAAAGAATTTTCGGCAGGGATATAATTTTTAGTCTTAAAACAACAATTTAAATATTGAAAAGCAATAGAAATGCAAAACCAAGGAAAAACCATAAAAATACAGAAAACATTAAGAATCCATAGAAATTCAAAGCTATAAGATACTACAAATATGAAAGCTGATAAGTAAGCCATAAAAATATTAAAAAGCTATATATAATTATTTTTGAACTCAAAAGATTTTTAGAACATTAATATCTTAGCACTATAATGCGTGAATCATATAAACTTACGCGGTGATACGTGTACGATAATACGATCTCAATACTTTAAATAATTCTTTACAATAAATAATTGAAAGTTCCGATTAGGTTTCCGATTTCTTTTCATTATTAGCGTTTTTGAACTGGTTCTTAGAGGTTTCTATTTAAAAAGTTTCAACCTCTGTTGTATATAAATAAAAAAAAAACGTTCATAAAATTGATGTCATCTTAATATAATCCAAAAATGTGAGGAGAAAAATTTGGGAAGAATAGTTTTTTTCCATTTACTATATATACTACATTTTTTATTATATAACATAACATTTTCTCAAGTTTTGACAGGCTTAGTCGCCAATGTCCCTACTTAATTCCGCCTATGCTTCTCATTATCGTATTGGAGCTAATAAAAAGTCTGCTGATATAAAATTTTAAATAAAAAAAACGAGTTTTCAAATAAAATGATATTTTAATCATGATAAGAATTTTCATCTTCCTAGAATATATTGTGTTTACGCTCTTAACTAAATTATTTTAACATCTAACTTGAAACAAATGCATTAACTTATATTTTTTGTTTTCGTTGATGTATATTGATGTTAAGGGAATCAATATACCATTCTCATTGAAAGAATATTTTAAAATAAAACGCCAGATGCTCAATGGATATCGGTATCCCATTACTTTTTCTTTGTTGAGTTGCCGACAAATAGGCAAATGTGTCACTAAATATTACTATAAAAATAAATATTAATTAATATTAAAAATTATTAAGCTTATTTTTAGTAAAAAAAATCTAAACCCTAAATCCGTTAATAAAATGACATGCGCAATAATTGATATTATCAGTATTTAGATCCAGATTTAGTACATTAGTGGCCATAAACAAATAATTCTATTGGATCTAATTGATACGCAGATGAGCAGTTAATAACACAAGATTTATCATGTTTAATTAATTTCGATTCACTGAAATTGTTTTAATAAACCACTTGAGTATACCATATTCAATGCTACTGAATTTTAATTGGAAATAGAAAAAATAAGTGCCAAACAATCAAATACATGTTATACTATGTACTTGTGTATTTGTTAGTTACTTAAACAAAGAATACTTTATCGTAATATAGAAGAAAATTAAAATTCGTGATTATTAATTTGAAAAAGTGTATACAGAGTGGAACAGATATAACTGACAACTCATATAAATTATGATACATAACATTTTAATTGTAAAAAAACTCAAAATTTAACAAACTTCAAAATGCTGTATAAACGTAACTACTGAATTAAAATAAGAGTTTTTGGTATCAACATTTTTCTTTAAAAAAGAATGGGATCCTTGATATTTATTGAAGACGATTCGGCNAAGAATGGGATCCTTGATATTTATTGAAGACGATTCGGCAACTCTTCGTCGCTATCGTCGCGTGATAAAATTAGCAATTGAAGCTAAGTCAAATTTAAAAGTTACTTATTCGACTTTAAAAAAGCAAAAAAATTTTAATAAGTTTAATTTCTTATGTCTATGAACTTTATAATGTGTCAAATAAATTATATAATAATCATGAAAGTCAGTATATTTCCTTTATAAGATATTTTAAAATAAAATACAAAAACCAGAATTTTACACACAAAAATAGCATATTTTTGAATACGGTAGCCATTTTCACCAAAAAGAAAATGAATATTTCGAATTTTTTTTTTTTTTTCATATTAAAGTATATAATATAAGCTTTAATTTAAGATTAAATAAAAGTGTTAATATTTCCGGAACATTTTCAAAAGTAAAGATGAAAAAAGTTATATTTTTTGTATAAAGTTTCAAGTTTTGAACGCCCCCTATGTAAGGGGAAATTGTCCAATTTTAATAAAAAGTATGTCAAATGTAAGATGTACTTATAATCTATTTAGAAAAAAAAANATTAATAGCACTATTTACACAATTAACAAAATAGATTTAAAGCAAAATAATCAACTGTTAATTAGAAACAAAAACAAAAAAAAATACGAAAACGAATCGAAATTGAATAGTAATTTAAGTGAACTATAAATAATATAAAAAGGTCACAGTTTACTTTTTTCAATCCGTGAATGAAGGACCATATAATGAATGAGCGCAATGCTCGATAATTAATTTACCAACTCGATAACCGTACGTTATATTGAATATATTGACCATATATTGAATGAGCGCAATGCTCGATAATTAATTTACCAAAAAAAGAACAATTATTTTGTCTTTAATATAACCTCATACCTGTGAGAAGACGTACGGTTGGTTCATCAAAAGAAATCAATAGTTGTATATAGAATAAAAATTTAATATTTTTATTTGTAATCAAAAGTACTATTACAAGTACTATTAAATACTATTACAAGAATAAATTGCATAAGCAGCAAAAGAAACTTATAAATTAAATTAAATGAATTTAACTTTAAGTACAACAAAAAAGAAAATATCAATACTTGGCAGCAGTTGCCGAATAACATGAACAACACACAACAACGATAATAATGGAAAAACAATTTTCCCATGGACAGTGCAGTATGTACAAAGGCATTAGTTGCCGATAAAACGACACAAACAAACAATTAAAATAGATATTTACAATAACAACAACGAAAAAGGAAGGGAGTAAACTCGATAGACAACAATAACGAAAACAACTTATTTACATAGACATATATACACTATATACATTTTTGCATGAACATCNATTTAAACTATTTAAATATATGTGCTTCAATTTGAAAAAATAAGGTAGACACATTTATAAGGTATAAGGGACGAACGTAATATAAAGAATGATTCATTAAGGATAAGAAACTCATTTTCTCGAAATCTATTGAAGATTTTTAATTTTTAAAAAGGAAAATATTGTTTATAGATTGTAGTGTTTTTTTGATTAAAACAACACAATAATATATAGTTAAATAACTTTTCTTATCCCTAAGGGGATAAGAAATTCTAGCATTAATTTTCTTAAATGAGTACTTCTATATTTACCATGATAATTTGATGGAACCAAAATTTACAGACAATTTTATTCATATAATTTATTTTTCAAACTAATAATGAATTTTTATTATAATTACAAATATTTAACAATTTAAAAAAACGAACCAACAGGATTATTTGTAAATGTTTTTTCTATCATATTATCATGGTAAATATAGGGGAACTTATAAAAAAAATTAATTCTAAGGTAATTTATCCTTGATATTCTTTTGATCCTTTTTGAATCAAACAATATTTTCGTTTACAAAATTAAAAAATTTTCAAAAATAAGTCCGTTACCCTTAAGGAAGCACTTTGTATATTGTATGATTCATTGTAAAAACCTGTACCTAAAATAAAAAAAATACTCAATATACTTTTTATGTTTCAATTAATTAAGTGGTTAATAATAAATAATTCATCTTGTATATATGTTTGCACAGTTATAGACTCTTGAGAATGGCCCTACTGCCGTCCGTTATTATCATTCCAGTCGGAGTGGCAGCATATGGGCGGTGATAGAGCTGGCAGTCCGTGATGGTTTGATTTTTTTTTTTGTATTATTGTTAACGGTTATATCATGTTCAGTGTTTGAATTATGTATTTGTAACTTATTATTTTTAATGAAGTTATTTTAATAGAAAATTCGTCGCAATTGGCGGCTAGTGGAAGTTATATTTAAAAGTTTTTAAGGCACATTTTATTGAAGTAATATTATTTTTAATTATCTAAATAATTGCTATGATTATAGTATTAAGATCAATAATATTTATAATCCTAGAATTACTCTAGTCACTTAGGTTAACCACTCCTTTATAGGAGTATGGTGGCGAATAATAAACAGAAATATAAAATTTTTCATTAAAACAAATTTTGGATCCAATTATTGTTATAGTGGTGATACAGTTAATATTGTATAATTTAAGGTTTTTGTGTTGTGTATTTTATTATTATTATTATGAATAATAATTAATATAATAATAATAATTAATGAAAAATATAAATAACAGACTTTTTAAAATATACTCATAAAATGTATTATTATTAATAATTAATTGTGTTTTACATTAAATATTAAAACAATGCATATGAACTAAATTAAACACAATTATTTTATATAGTAATGGAACATAATGAACAATTATGACATGAAAATTAACTTAAATGAACTCATAATATGGTCTCATATTATCTGTATATTCAATTTGTAAGTTTGAATCATCTTTTGCTTCACACATGACATCTAATATTAAACAAAAAGAAATTATATAAAAGAAATTGCCAATCATATTGATCGAATAAAATAATAGCACAATATTTTATAACAATGGTGACACATCAAAAAAATATTGGTTTTTTTGAGTAATTTCTTTTCAAACGTTATCTGACATTTTTACATCAACCTTATTTTAAATAAAAAAACTTAATAATATATTTTTATATCAAATTATGAGTAGTAGAGGAGTAAAGTATGATTGCCATACCCTCCTAACCTAACCTAAGTAGAACTTTTAAGAAAAAAAAAAACTTGAAAAAACGTCGAAAATTAGCGATTTTTAAATTTGTAATTTTTTTGGAGATTTCCTCCATTGACGGGGAATTAAAAGCACTGACAACAACATCCCATGATAGGAGTCATTAAAAATAATATAAAAAGGCTTAGTTCTGCTTGCACAGCGCAAGCAAGCCAGCCGTCGATCGGCTCTTCTCCACTTTTGAAGCTCTTGATTCAATATAGAATTCAGAATTATTTTGTTCAGTTTATTTTCTCAAAATAGCCGCGGCCACGTGTTGTTGTCGATACATATAAAATTTTAAAGAATCAAGTATTTATAAAGAGACTAATCTTAAAAAAATTAATAGTTTCCATGTAATTAATAACCTCATGTAGATATTATGCAACATATTTTTGAAGAGGTGTGCCATTTGGTCAAACCATGCCAAATCATCCAGAAGTGGTTGCACGACCACCTCATATTTTTCTGAAATTTTCAGGGTGTATTCATTATGGTATATATTTAAATTAAAACAATTTTTTTTTTTTTTTTATGATCTTCCTATTTTTATGGCTATTTCAATGTAAAAAAAGTTAAAAATAGCTAGATCGTTAAAAAACACACAGATTATTCAATTTTAACTCAATCGAATTAAAATTAATCACAGATTTTTATCAATTAATAACAATAACATAAGAAGTCTTAAGATATCATTAACTGACATTTATGAAGACACAATATTCTAACTACTAAAAAAACCATGATTATAAATATTTTACAATATTATCATAATAATTTAATTTATTTATTTTTTATTTTCGAATTAAAATAATGAATTGAATATTTATAACGTGTTTAATAATTATATTGAATTATAATATATTACATATACAATGATATACAAAAAAAATTACAAAAATGTGGTTTGAAAACAACAAAAAACTATCATTAAATTATTTGATTTTTCTGATTTTCTAATGCTAAATTTTACCTGTTACACATTTTTCTAAAACTTCAAATTTTTATGATGTATAAAACAGATATATATCTACAAAACTAAAAAAAAAATTTTTGGAAATTAGATTACCCAACAGAGATATTGCACTTAGAATACACGTATTTTTATAAAATTTATAACTTTGTAGGCCTCTAAATCCCAAGATAATTGTTTTAAATATTTGAAATTTAGTTGAAACATAGATTATACACTATACAATACCACATGTAAAAATCACAATAAAATTTAAGTGAGCTCAAAAATTTTCACAAAAAAAGCGCCATTTTTTGAAAGTCATTAAAGTTTAGAATTTTTTTTTTTTTTTATGTAAACTTTAAGTTATAATAGGGTCAAATCTAAAATTTTAATTCGATTGAGTGAAATTGAATAATCTGTGTGTTTTTTAACGATCTAGCTATTTTTAACTTTTTTTACATTGAAATAGCCATAAAAATAGGAAGATCATAAAAAAAAAAAAAAATTGTTTTAATTTAAATATAGAATAATGAATATACCCTGAAAATTTCAGAAAAATATGAGGTGGTCGTGCAACCACTTCTGGATGATTTGGCATGGATTGACCCCATTGTATAATTATTTACTTTAAATAAACTAAACAANAAATTGAATAATCTGTGTGTTTTTTAACGATCTAGCTATTTTTAACTTTTTTTACATTGAAATAGCCATAAAAATAGGAAGATCATAAAAAAAAAAAAAAATTGTTTTAATTTAAATATAGAATAATGAATATACCCTGAAAATTTCAGAAAAATATGAGGTGGTCGTGCAACCACTTCTGGATGATTTGGCATGGATTGACCCCATTGTATAATTATTTACTTTAAATAAACTAAACAATAGGAAGAATATATTCAATAATGGTAGTTAAGAAGATGGTAATATTTCACCACCTATTTTCTCAACACATAGATTTTTTTTTATTAAAAATATCAGCAAGCGAAATGTGGAATTTTGTTAATTTTTCTTTCTTTGATGGTAGGAAATCTAGCACCAGAGGATATTGAGGCCTGGTTATTTTATTTAAAGTTTTTAAAAATAATAGATATTTATTGAGTTATTATTTTTCTGAAAGTAAAATTTCATTGCTTACTGACTTGATAAAACAGCACCATGAATATTATATTTATTTATTTAACGATACCTAAAAACCAAAGCACCAATTAATGGTACATTATCTAAAAATAATTTAAGTGTCATGGCCATTGAGACATTTTTGGTGCTTTAGGTTTGAAGGTAAACATAAAGAATTTTAACATATGCTAGCTAAAAAAATTCAAATTAGATTTGCAGGTTATATAATGAATTCAGATAAATACGACCTTATAACATGTTAATAACATTGATTTAACTCGCTATAATTTTAAAAAGAAACTTTAAAACATTGACGAATCCAGCAGAATATAAAATCTACGGAGTAGCACAATTTAATGGAATTTCTTATAAGTATAATTTGGGGATTTTTCCCATATACAGGGAACAAGGGAAATTTTTTCAATTTTTAAGGCTAATGTCTTCAATTTGATACGATTTGTGATCGTTTGACGTATCGTTGAAAGAAATCGGTTCGGTAAGAGCTAAGAAAAAGAAGCGACTAACATAAAAATCCCAGCAAAGGTAGCTAATTGGTTTTCTATGACATTGCTGTCACAGTCACGGATTGTTTATTATCAATTATGACTATCAATAGATATACTTTTTATATTGACAGTGTATTTATTAACTCACAACAATATGCCTTACTACTGTCGTAATATGTCCAATGCTTCGCTTACGCATCTTACATTTATCAATGTAAAATTTATAATCTATATTTCATATTACTTGTGTTAATTTGAATTTTATTTTTAAATATGATTGTCGGCGAACAGAGAGGCATGTAGTTCGGACTGGTTGACCAACTGTCTAGCGTCACAGATGGGATCGGTACTACCTACTAGGCTGAGTGGTAATGAGTGTTGCTGGTAGTCTCAACAACGGTCAGTGTTCAGAACCAAGTAGAAGAAGAAGGCCGCAGCAGATATTCCCTTTTTTTATATTTCATATTAAATATTAAATATTAAATTTTTAGCTTTGATGCGAAGCTGAGAAGGTATTGGTTTTACTAAGATGCGTTTTTTTTTTTGTGCCTGTTACCACTTTTTCTCAGCTCTCACTAAACCGATTTCTTTCAATGATACGTCAAAAGATCACAAATCGTATCTAGTCGAGGACATTATCCTCAGAAATTGATAAAAATGCTCTCGTTCCCCGTAAATGGAGGAAACCTCCAAAAAAATTACAAATTTAAAAATCTCTAATTTTCGAAATTTTTTCAATTTTTTTTACTTAAAAGTACCATAACTTTTTCAAAAATGAACATTTCAATATGATTATTTTTTATATAGATGCACAATATCATTACCTTTCATTTGGTATTTTTTTTTATAAACTTAACCCTTAACCTGCCCACAAGGGGGGATTTAAAATGACAACTTTTTTACAAAAAATTAACTTTTAACAATGTTTCGGAAGGTCTGACACTTTTATATATATTTTAAATTAAAGCTAATGTAATGTACTTTATTATGCAAAAAAAAAATTTTGGACTTTATTTTGTCTTCATGGTGAAAATAGTTACCGAATGCTATTATTGTGTGAAAATTCTCGATTATATTTTTTACATTTTTAACTTTATAATAATATAACTTTTTGAAAAGTGTATGGATCAACATAATTTTTTTATGAGAAATAATATTTTTTAATAGTCCCTTTTTCATTCGACATACTTTATCTTAATCAGGATATTAATAAGGAACTAGCAGATTTTGTAGCTTTTGGAATAATTCGCCAATTTTTTAAAATTAAACTCTGTCTAAATATTTGCATCGAAGCGTTTTTTTTTAGTGATTTTAATCACTGTCAGATATCATAATACTTGATCCAACTATGCCACGTCACCACTGTGCCGCGACCCCCCTGTGCTGGGTTTTATTTAATTGTGTTTCATTTTTGTTATAAGTTATTTTCTTAATAAAGCAAGTTGATTTGTGTTTGATCATTCACTATAAGTAAGTTTTTTTTTTTTTATTGCATAGAATAAATTTGTCTACAATAGACAAATTTATACATAAAGAAATATTATTGATAGTAACATTTAGAGCAATTCCAAATAAACTAACTGCATGAGTTCACCTACGCACAGCTACGTTAGGCAGAATTCACGTAATCAGAAAGAAATAATTAGAGTATGGTGCCTTAACTATATTTTAATTATTTCCGTTTTATGGTCATCGTTGTCGGCGCACTGCAGTTGTCGATTGACGTTTAGGGTATTCGTACAAGGCGGTACTCTATTGTTATGTGTCGATGGTACTCTGCGGATACCATGACATGTTAAGGGCTATTTACACAATACTCACAGATTAAGCTACACGACGTAACGCATATAGTATTACTTGTTAACCAGCGTAGGTTACTCATGCAGTTAGGTTATAACGACATTTGATATATATTACACATGGTAGAGCTTCATACTCTGTTTTTATTATTTTATGATTACAGTTCATTCACGAGTATTAAAAAAGATTGAATTTATTATTATAAATTGCGTGTAACTTGAAATATTATATATTTTGAAATAAAAAAAAAATTACGCAAGTTTAAAATGAGTTGAGAATAAATTTGAATAATATATATATATATATATATAATACAATTTAAAGTTAATTCGGTTTTTGTACATGGCGCTCGGTAAATTTTCTAGTTTTCCTTTAATAAGAGATAAAATATAATGGATACATAATTGTAGTGTAATTTAGTTATTTTGAAATGTTAAAAAAAATCAGGAATTTCTATTTGTTCGTCTATTTTTTGTTTACAATTACTTTGTATTTTTTAGTTGGTGTTATATATAGAACACAATATATTTGTGCAAATGCAATTCGGCCTTCGTACATTTAGCTAAATAAATTTTGTAGTTTTCCATAATTAATCGATAAAATATTGTGGATAAGAATATTGTTTTCTAATTGTAAACATATACTATAAATAAATAAAAGCTTTTTTAAACAATGTTTAACTACTCCATTGGTATGTTGCATCAAATTATTAAAAAGAATATTGTATGATATCTAAAAAAATTATTCAATTNTTGCATCAAATTATTAAAAAGAATATTGTATGATATCTAAAAAAATTATTCAATTATAAAATTATTTAAATTAAAAAGTAGATACAAAGATTTTGTGCGATTTATTATAAACTAGAGTATTATAAGATTCTTACAGCTTCCGATTCTTCTCTCCTCATAACATGACTAAACAATCTAACTCTATTTTCTATCGTCTTATCCACGATTGACGCAACACCTATACTTCCTCTTATATGCTCGTTCCTTATCCCATCTTCTCTAGTCACTTCACTCATCCAACTAAGCATTCTCATCTCTGCTACACTTATTCTCTGCTCTACTTTCTTATCAACCGCCCAACACTATTAACCATACATCATAGCTGGCNGTTCATTGGTATGTTCTGACAAATTTATTAGACTTTGAGTGGTATCTAAATTTGTTAATAAAAAAATTGTTTATTAAGTTTTAGATTTTTTAATAACATATTATAAATAAATAAAAGTACACTTGTTTATTATAAAATAATTACCATCTTTTTTAATTCCATCCTGTTTATCTACTTCATTGGTAGGTTGCACCAAATTTATAGAATTTTTGTATTGTATAATATCTAAAAATATTAAAATACTATTAAGCTCAATTTAAATTAAAATATATGTAGAATACTATATAATTAAAACTTTACATTCTTGTACAATCTTTTTCATCGCATTTACTTCAGTGGCATATTGTATCATATTTATTGGATTTTGTGTAGTATCTAAACATGTTCATAAAAAAATAATTTTTATTGAGTTTAATATTGTGATAAAAATTATACCTTGATTGTCATTGGATTGTGGAGTAGGTAAAAATGTCTGACATGTATTCAAATCAAATTTAAATCCAAGTTCAATATACTTTTTACATATTATCGTTAAGATTAAATCATTAATTTTGTCACTAAGAAAAATGAATAGTTCTTGATATATTCCTTGAAAGTTTAATGTGTTGAATTCCATATTCCATAAATTCCACAATGAAAACAAATCTAATGATATTAGTTCACAAAATCTAACATTTTCCTCAAGTTCTAATTTCATTCTGGATATATATTTCTGAATTTTAAATAATGCTGCATTAATAGAATCCTTATCAATACTCAATGGAATCAACTTCTTTAAATGTTCATTTTCCTTTAAATATGTTAGAACGTCACTTAAAATAACACAATGTTTTCTTTGGATGTTCATTGGCTTATTATGACATTGTTCTATAGCATTTAAAGCTCCTTCCATAAGTTTGGCCATTGGAACAATATCAATTATTTTTGCTAAAAGTGTTACTGTACATTTGTGCGCACGAACCTTATCAGATTTTAGTAGTTTAAAACAATGTTCATAAAAATTATAAAGTGTAAAGAACATCACATTTAAATCTTGAGTGTAAGAACATCCAAGGAATATTGATCCGTGCCGTACATAATTATTGCAATTGTATAATGTTACAGGTTTATTAATTATTTCGTTTGGATAAATGTCTTTCGTCCTATATTTAATATGTTTGACATCATTAATATTCTTCCATCCTGGTTGTTGTAGTAAATTATTTATTATGTCAGCGTTTCTTTTTTTATTATGTGTTCCTGCAGAATACAAAATAGCGAAAAATATATAAAAATACACTTGAATATTAAAAGGTACTGCCATTTTTATTTTCGAAAAATAATAATACTACTTTCTTCAACTTTTATATTTTCATACTAAAATATGAGAATTCTAAACAATTTTTGATTGTGTACACACAGATGTAAAAAGGCAAATAAAATTAATGTATGCGTAAACGTTGCTGAGAACGAGTAGTGTTAATAAATTATGGTATTAAAAAGGTATTCGTGAGATGGTCATTGCATTTTCGTTGCCTCATTGTATTATTTTAGGTTCTTACCAGTTTGGTCATTTATAATATCTCTATAAGAGGAACTTTAATAATTTATTTTTATACCTACTTTTCATTAATGTTCTTAACCCTCGGATTATATAACCTCATTGCTCACGAATTGACCAAATCCCCAAATATCCAAATCTTAGAAATATACCCAACACACATCATAATTTTTTATTACTACAATAACAATTATTATTGTCATTTTTTTTTTTTTATTAATAATAAAAATTAATTTATAATAATTAATGAAAAATATAAATAATAGATTGTTGGATATACTAATAAAATGTATTATTAATAATAATTAATTGTGTTTTACATTAAATATTAAAACAATGCATATGAACTAAATTAAAACAATTATTTTATATAGTAATGGAACTCAATGAACAATTAAGAAATGAAAATTAACTTAAATGAATTAATAATATGGTCTCATATTATCAGTATATTCAATTTTATAACCATGATGACACATTAAGAAAAAAATTTCGGTTTTGTACAGGAAAAGAATATTTAATATATTATGTATAATAATGATCAAAAATAAAAGAAATATGTATTGTTCTTATTTTTTAAAATAATTCACCTTTACTTTTTATTTATATATTATGTACATTGTAAAGAAATAGAAGTTTAAATCTAAAACATAAATAATTTTATCAATGTAATTTCATTTGAACACACAAAAAAATATTCAAGTTCTAAAGTAGTTTCCTTATGAAATAACAAATATTAGCTTCGATGCGAAACTGAGAAGGTATGGTTTTACTAAGATGTGTTTTTTTTTTGTGTCTGTTACCACTTTTTCTCAGCTCTCACCGAACCGATTTCTTTCAATGATACGTCAAAAGATCACAAATCGTATCTAGTCGAAGACATTACCCTCAAAAANTGATACGTCAAAAGATCACAAATCGTATCTAGTCGAAGACTTTACCCTCAAAAATTGAAAAAAATTCCCTCGTCCCCATAAATGGGGGACACCTCCAAAAAAATTACAAATTTAAAAATCGCTAATTTTCGAAATTTTTTCAATTTTTTTTACTAAAAAGTGCCGTAACTTTTTCAAAAATGAACGTATGAATATAATTTTTTTTTTATAGATGCATGATGTCATTACCTATCATTGGGTATATTTTTTTTATAAATCTGACTTTTTACCTGCCCACTGGGGGTGATTTAAAATGACAACTTTTTTACAAAAAATTTACTTTTTCAACTTAAAATTTGAAAGTGTTCTGGAAAGTCTGACACTTTTATATATATCTTAAATTAAAGTTAATGCAATATACTTTATCACGAAAAAAAAAAATTTCGGACTTTATTTTATCTTCATAGTGAAAACAGACATCAAAGTTAATTATAAAAATACGATTTTTGTAAAAAAATTCTTTTTTATATTTTTAACTTTATAATGATATAACATTTTGAAAAATGTATGAATCAATATAATTCTTTTTTTTATAGATGCATGATGTCTTTACCTATCATTTGGTATATATTTTTTTCAATTTCTGAGGGTAATGTCCTCGACTAGATACGAATTGTGATCTTTTGACGTATCATTGAAAGAAATCGGTTTAGTGAGAGCTGAGAAAAAGTGGTAACAGGCACAAAAAAAAAAACGCATCTTAGTAAAACCAATACCTTCTCAGCTTCGCATCAAAGCTAAAAATTTAATATTTAATATTTAATATTAAATATAAAAAAAGGGAATATCTGCTGCGGCCTTCTTCTTCTACTTGGTTCTGAACACTGACCGTTGTTGAGACTACCAGCAACACTCATTACCACTCAGCCTAGTAGGTAGTACCGATCCCATCTGTGACGCTAGACAGTTGGTCAACCAGTCCGAACTACATGCCTCTCTGTTCGCCGACAATCATATTTAAAAATAAAATTCAAATTAACACAAGTAATATGAAATATAGATTATAAATTTTACATTGATAAATGTAAGATGCGTAAGCGAAGCATTGGACATATTACGACAGTAGTAAGGCATATTGTTGTGAGTTAATAAATACACTGTCAATATAAAAAGTATATCTATTGATAGTCATAATTGATAATAAACAATCCGTGACTGTGACAGCAATGTCATAGAAAACCAATTAGCTACCTTTGCTGGGATTTTTATGTTAGTCGCTTCTTTTTCTTAGCTCTCACCGAACCGATTTCTTTCAACGATACGTCAAACGATCACAAATCGTATCAAATTGAAGACATTAGCCTTAAAAATTGAAAAAATTTCCCTTGTTCCCTGTATATGGGAAAAATCCCCAAATTATACTTATAAGAAATTCCATTAAATTGTGCTACTCCGTAGATTTTATATTCTGCTGGATTCGTCAATGTTTTAAAGTTTCTTTTTAAAATTATAGCGAGTTAAATCAATGTTATTAACATGTTATAAGGTCGTATTTATCTGAATTCATTATATAACCTGCAAATCTAATTTGAATTTTTTTAGCTAGCATATGTTAAAATTCTTTATGTTTACCTTCAAACCTAAAGCACCAAAAATGTCTCAATGGCCATGACACTTAAATTATTTTTAGATAATGTACCATTAATTGGTGCTTTGGTTTTTAGGTATCGTTAAATAAATAAATATAATATTCATGGTGCTGTTTTATCAAGTCAGTAAGCAATGAAATTTTACTTTCAGAAAAATAATAACTCAATAAATATCTATTATTTTTAAAAACTTTAAATAAAATAACCAGGCCTCAATATCCTCTGGTGCTAGATTTCCTACCATCAAAGAAAGAAAAATTAACAAAATTCCACATTTCGCTTGCTGATATTTTTAATAAAAAAAAATCTATGTGTTGAGAAAATAGGTGGTGAAATATTACCATCTTCTTAACTACCATTATTGAATATATTCTTCCTATTGTTTAGTTTATTTAAAGTAAATAATTATACAATGGGGTCAATCCATGCCAAATCATCCAGAAGTGGTTGCACGACCACCTCATATTTTTCTGAAATTTTCAGGGTATATTCATTATTCTATATTTAAATTAAAACAATTTTTTTTTTTTTNACCGAACCGATTTCTTTCAACGATACGTCAAACGATCACAAATCGTATCAAATTGAAGACATTAGCCTTAAAAATTGAAAAAATTTCCCTTGTTCCCTGTATATGGGAAAAATCCCCAAATTATACTTATAAGAAATTCCATTAAATTGTGCTACTCCGTAGATTTTATATTCTGCTGGATTCGTCAATGTTTTAAAGTTTCTTTTTAAAATTATAGCGAGTTAAATCAATGTTATTAACATGTTATAAGGTCGTATTTATCTGAATTCATTATATAACCTGCAAATCTAATTTGAATTTTTTTAGCTAGCATATGTTAAAATTCTTTATGTTTACCTTCAAACCTAAAGCACCAAAAATGTCTCAATGGCCATGACACTTAAATTATTTTTAGATAATGTACCATTAATTGGTGCTTTGGTTTTTAGGTATCGTTAAATAAATAAATATAATATTCATGGTGCTGTTTTATCAAGTCAGTAAGCAATGAAATTTTACTTTCAGAAAAATAATAACTCAATAAATATCTATTATTTTTAAAAACTTTAAATAAAATAACCAGGCCTCAATATCCTCTGGTGCTAGATTTCCTACCATCAAAGAAAGAAAAATTAACAAAATTCCACATTTCGCTTGCTGATATTTTTAATAAAAAAAAATCTATGTGTTGAGAAAATAGGTGGTGAAATATTACCATCTTCTTAACTACCATTATTGAATATATTCTTCCTATTGTTTAGTTTATTTAAAGTAAATAATTATACAATGGGGTCAATCCATGCCAAATCATCCAGAAGTGGTTGCACGACCACCTCATATTTTTCTGAAATTTTCAGGGTATATTCATTATTCTATATTTAAATTAAAACAATTTTTTTTTTTTTTTATGATCTTCCTATTTTTATGGCTATTTCAATGTAAAAAAAGTTAAAAATAGCTAGATCGTTAAAAAACACACAGATTATTCAATTTCACTCAATCGAATTAAAATTTTAGATTTGACCCTATTATAACTTAAAGTTTACATAAAAAAAAAAAAAAATTCTAAACTTTAATGACTTTCAAAAAATGGCGCTTTTTTTGTGAAAATTTTTGAGCTCACTTAAAACCATTAAAAAGTTATTATTTTATNCTTCCTATTTTTATGGCTATTTCAATGTAAAAAAAGTTAAAAATAGCTAGATCGTTAAAAAACACACAGATTATTCAATTTCACTCAATCGAATTAAAATTTTAGATTTGACCCTATTATAACTTAAAGTTTACATAAAAAAAAAAAAAAATTCTAAACTTTAATGACTTTCAAAAAATGGCGCTTTTTTTGTGAAAATTTTTGAGCTCACTTAAATTTTATTGTGATTTTTACATGTGGTATTGTATAGTGTATAATCTATGTTTCAACTAAATTTCAAATATTTAAAACAATTATCTTGGGATTTAGAGGCCTACAAAGTTATAAATTTTATAAAAATACGTGTATTCTAAGTGCAATATCTCTGTTGGGTAATCTAATTTCCAAAAATTTTTTTTTTAGTTTTGTAGATATATATCTGTTTTATACATCATAAAAATTTGAAGTTTTAGAAAAATGTGTAACAGGTAAAATTTAGCATTAGAAAATCAGAAAAATCAAATAATTTAATGATAGTTTTTTGTTGTTTTCAAACCACATTTTTGTAATTTTTTTTGTATATCATTGTATATGTAATATATTATAATTCAATATAATTA